TCTAAAACTAGAATACAAGATTCACATCACTTTAGTTAGTTAAGTACCATTCTAGTGAGGACAAGCAATAATCTTTTGTTTGACATTTCATGTTTACTTCTGTAAACAAATAAGTTATCATATACTAAGGGGTAGGCAACCTCAACACTCCAAAATAGTAATAATCAAAAATCACTGCGCTGGGAATGAGTGACTCGAAATCTAAATAACTAAATAGACCAGCAGCAACTTTGTGTATAAGTGAGTCTATTATGTGGCAAATAAGTTGCGCTCGGTCTAGTTGTGAATGGATGTGAAAGTGCTCTCTCAAAACCTCTCCTCACACAAAACCACACTCCAGCTGTGGTGAATTACAAGTCCCATCATGCCTCTGTCTCAGTCCTGCCCGTGGCTGTCAGAGTCTTGCAATGCCTCATGGGACTTGTAGTTCCACAACAGCTGGAGTGCTGAAGTTTGCCTACCCTTGCTCTGCCTACTTTCTAAACTCTGTTGTGCTGATCCACAGAACGTTTGTCAGATTTCTAATTTTGATTTAGCAATTTTGTTTGTTTGCCTTGTAGGTGGGGAGATGCCCGCCCCTCACCTTCTGGGGGCTCTGCTGCTGCTTCTGAGTATATCGTTTGGCAACTGCAACAAAGGTAAGTGGTTCGCCTATATAAAAGCTAATCTGTAAGCCGGGGTGGGCAAAATTCTGCCCGCCAGCTGTGGTGAAACTACAAATCCCATGATGCATCTATCTCTATGGGTCATGCCTATGGCTGTGAGAATCTTGCAGGGATCCCAACCTGAAAAAAGCAATTTGCTGCTGTCAATCACTAGAAGAAGACCTTATGGAGAACTTCAGGTCCACCTCTGCTGATTGACAGCAGCAGTGGGTGGGTGCAATAGCTAGTCTGCTATTGGCTATTGCAAAGTAAAATAGCCAATAGCAATCTAGCTGTGCATTCCTATGCTGGTTTTTTGTTTTTTTTCTCTGACTGACGGCGTTCGGCGGCCCTGATGTCAGAGGAAAAAAACAGAACGCAGGGACTGGTTTAGTCTGCTAGATAGAGCGGAGTAAACCTTTCCGGGATATATGTACCCTGTCAGTGTCCATACCTGCCTAACTTTCTGAGACAAGAAAAAGGGACACTTCATAGTACAAAGTATATAAGCAAAATACATACTCCCTGCCACACCTCCAGTGATGCAGATAATGAAGAACTAATATGCAAAAAGTGATTGGTTACACCCACAAGTAATTCTTTTCCACCACTTATTTTCCTTTATGCTGGTCTTTTAAAATAACAAATGCAATCATTTAGAGGCTGGATACAAGCTTAGCTGCAGTAAAACAATGTTGATAGATAGATAGATAGATAGATAGATAGATAGATAGATAGATAGATAGATAGATAATACATTTTTTATTGAGATACATTAGACTAAAAAGAGGGACAAGTGAGGGGTTAAGAGGGACAGGGGACTTTGGTTTCAAAAGAGTGACAGTACCTTGAAATGAGGGACAGCTAGGAAGTATATCAATGCCCACTGTTAGATCGACTGCACTCCTTAATCTTATCTTATCTTGTCACTTGCTTTTTTTATTAATCCATCAATGGATTTAATTGTCTTTTTTACATTGGCCTGCATCTTTTTTACATCAGCTCTGTATGCCTGCCTTTGGTCAGCCGAACATGTTCGGCTGAGCTGAAGTGCAGAGGGACTTAGACTCAGCCGATCCAAAATCCGAGTTGGAAAAAAAAAAAAACTTGAAAATGTATTTGTAAAATGATAAAAAATTGTAAAATTACAAAATAAATAAAGATATTTTAAAGAAGAAAAACATTATATCAAAAAAATTGGGTGGAGCTAGAAGTGACAGCTAGCTCCGCCCAACTGTTTCCTATTGGCCAGCACCTGCTAGAGTCTCCTAGCAGGTCTCCGCCAATGAATAACAACTGGGCGGAGCTGGTCGTGGCATCACGGTTGGCTCCGCCCAGTTGTTATTGTTTAATGACAGATCAGCGTCCGCAAGTCATTTGGGGACACTGATCTGTCATTACAACTGGGCGGAGCCAGCCGTGAGATCACAGCTGGCTCCGCCCAGCTGTCATTTGCACGGGGAACGGCCGGCATTCAGCAGGCTGTTCTCCCCGCTTCGGCTGTCACTTCGGCTCAGTCGAGCCGAAGCATTTGCCTTCGGCTCGGCTGAGCCACTCGGCCGCCTTCGGCTGCTGTACGGGCTATTGTGAATAGCCTGTACAGCCGCCCTTTGGTTCGACTGAACCTCCGCCCCCGAAGAGAGCTGAAGGATCAGCCGAAGCTACGGCTGTATCCCTCGGCTCAATAGTAAATAACCCCCATAATGTTTTGGGGGGTTTTGAGAAATTTCCAGGCCTAAAATGTGGATTATACCATACAGTATGTGAAAAAACACAAAAAAGGCCTTGGCAGCTAAAGGGTTAAAGGGGAGTCCCAGCATACACTATCCTGTTGTAATAGCAGAATTGTAATAGGAATACATACTAGAGTTGTTGTTGATGATGCAAACAAAGCTTACTTGAAAAAATCCCTTTTATGTAATGAGTGCTGCCTTCCGTCTGCCCATCACTTTCATCAACTTCCTGCATTCCTAGTGTGCTTTGCTTCTCTTTCACTTCTGCTGGATGTGATGCAATCTTGATTTCTCAAGACTACATATCCCATCATGCATTGCGTCCAGCAAGCAGTGCTGATGTTACATTGTTCAGACGTTGAGTTGTTGTTCAGATGGCAGGCTTAGTTGGAGTGGTGACACAAGGAAGTGGATATTCAAAGGGCTGAGTGAAATTGAGGAAGTACATTCTACGGTTATCTTCAATAAGTAAGTTTACAGACTTCTAGATGGATATGGTTATTAGCAGTGGGACAGAACTTATGGAAATTCAATATAAAAATACAGGTTTATTTTTATTTTTTTACCATAGACATCCTTTAAAACTGCTCTGACTCTCCCATTTTTGAAAAAGTCACACAAATGAGTGCAATGCTCTGCAACTTGGATGAAGGCAGTGTGAAAGGGCCGGAATGTGCATCAATTATGTCACTGTGGAATGATGTGTGTGTATGTGTGATAAACGTCACACAAACTCTAGAAATATACGAAACTCAGAATAGCTCTCACCCCAACGCCAGAGTATGCAGGGTTAGTGGGGGTGCTGTAGGATGTGTTATGTTGGGTTTTGCTGTAAATATAAATACTTTACTTTTTACCCTTGTTGTAGAATATGTGTATATAGTATATTTATATCTCATATAAATAGGAACCGGAAACAATTAACAATAAGTATCCAAAGATTTCTTCAATGATCCAAATGTGGAGAAAAGTGCAGGGAAAACAAGGCATATAGGTGATATTATGTATCCTCCATGAAATAGGATTGTTTTCCTTGCACTTTTGGTCCACATGTGGATCATTGAAGAAAATTGTAGTTAACCACTTGCTACCTGGAGCAATTTCTTACATTTGCACACACATGATAAAGTCAGAATTTTTGGCTAGAAAATAACTTCAGACCCCCCAAACAATTTTATATTTTCTGAAAGCAGGGGCCTTGTAGAATAAAAAGATGCTAGTTGCAATTTTTTATGTGGCACAGTATTTGCGCAAATGTTAATCAAACAAATATTTTAGGATAAAATATTCTAAAATGAAATTTAGTGCACAGAAACAGAATATAATGCCCAATTTTTTTGTAAAATATAAAAGACGGGGTCACGCGGGGTAAATAGATACCAAACATGTCAAGCCTTAAAATTGCGTGCATCCGTGAAACCGCAAAAAACTACAATAACCAACATTTTCCATAGGCAACGCTTTTACGGCTCATCAGTTATATAACATGTGTGGCGCAATTTTTTTTTTTTTGCACGTAGGCGCATCCGACGCGTGTTTGTGTTGTATGTGTGTGCACGTGGGGGGAGGGGGACTTTTAAAAAAAATTTGCATTTTTTATTTTTTTTATGTTACTTTAATTTTGTAAAAAATTTTTAACACTCAGTTTTATTGCTACTGCATAGGGGGATACCAAGCCCCCTATGTAATAGCAAATTTATTGTGACAGGTCCTCTTTATGGAGACATCCGGGGTGTTTCAGACCACTAATGTCACCTAGGGACCCCAAAGAAGCTGATGAAGCAGAGATTTGCTTCATCAGCTTCTTGTTCTGGCTCTATCCAAGAGCCGGAGACTGTGTACAGTGACACCAGAAATGATGTAATGCACATCACTTCTGGGTCCAGTGATCAGAGGAGATATCAGTGGCTGGAAGCCGCTGTTCTTTCCTCCGATCTATCAGAGGAGACCCTCCATGCCGCTCCTGGGCTTACACGAGGGACAGATGAGTCCGGGAAGCCGATGGCGACACCAGCGGCCGCAGAGGGGGGGAGGGGGACACGGCGCCGTACTGTACAAGCGATCTGGCGCCTGTACAGACGCCGGATCACTTGTATTTAAACAGCAATCGCCTGCTGTTTAAAACGGCAGCCGTGTTCTTGCCATAACCACTTCCAGCGGATGACGTACAATTACATAAACCGGCAGGAAGTGGTTAAATGTGGAGAAATGTGCATGGATTGCAGATGGGGATGCAACGATACCGTTTTTTCGGTATTCAGTACGAGTACTGATATTTATATTTTGGTACTCCCCAATACCGAGTACCAATACCAGTACTTCCGCTGGTATGGAGCCGGCTTCATGGCCAACCAGGAAGCTGGGAGGCAGGTCATTACCCAAGCCTGGCTTCCTGATTGGCCAGGAAGCCAATCAGCTGGGTCATTACCCTCCACCCGGCTTCCTGATTGGCCGGGAGGCCGGCTCCATGCTGTTTGACCGGCTTTATGATAATTGGCTGAGAAGCCGGCTTCCCGGCCAATCAGCATGGAGCCGGCCAAACATCATGAAGCCGGCTTTCCGGACAATCTGGAAGCCAGGCGGCGATTCATGTTACCTCGTCGCACTGTCGGTCAGAGGAGATCTCCCTCTGACCGTAAGTTTCGATATCGGCGGTAGGTATCAGAGCATTTGGGAGAGTACGAGTACTCCCCCAAATACTCGGTATCAGCACCGATACCGATACTAGTATTGGTATCTGTGAATTCCTAATTGCAGATGTACTGCATATGTTTTTTTCTTTTTATTTTGGGCTGACATACACTTTAAGGTAACTATACTCACAGGAAACTTAACCTATTTAAAGGAAAATAATGAGGCGAGTGATTTTCACTCAGCCTCATAATCTGAGCCGACCTGTGACAATGAAACTTCTTGATCTATCCCTGCAGAGAGCCGTGACTGTCACTCACAGCAGCGATTCCCTCCCTCCCCTGTCCGATCCTCCAGCGCTGACTGGCGGAACGGACAGGGGAGGGGGTGTGCACAGCTGGCTCTGCCTCTGGATAGGCAGAGCCAGCTGTCAATCCTGCAGCTGGGTGGATCCAGAGTATTGTCAGGATCCGTCTGCGGCGGTCTCAGAATACTCCGAGCTGTAACTCGCGGTATACTGAGCTTTGGGTCATGGGAGGATGCTAGTTTGTGTTCTCCCATGACCCTTAGGAGAACTATGGGGAAAAGCCCAGACCCCATAGTTCTCCTTTAAACTACCTTGTAGGGCCCATTCACACTGGATGCGTTGCATTGCGCTACATTTTTTCAGTTACACCACTCCGTTTCGTTGCGTTACGCTAGTTTACTTTGCACTGGGGAAAAAAAAGTAGAACATTGCACTAGCACTACTTTTTTTCAGTGCAACGTAACACAACGGAACCGGTGTGAACTAGCCCCATTCACACCAATTCATTTTTTGGTGTCCTTCTGTTAGCATTGAAAAATAGATCGCAACGGAGCGGAAGGAGATCGGATGGTGCAATTGTAAGTCAACGGACCCTCCGTTGACTTGCGATTTCCTGCCGATTTTGGTGTGAATGCACCTTTACATGACTGAAAGGATCAAGGTGATTAGGTGATTGTGTGATTTTTGCAACAGCAACCTGGTTGAAGGTGATGGAAGTTTTCTGACAATTACTGTACAGGGCAAAGCAACAGCTTCACTTTAACTTAGCCCTCTATAGCAGCATATACCTCTACACCCAGTGGTGGGCAAACTCCCTCCCTCCAGCTGTAATGAAGCTACAAATCCCATCATGCATCTTTCTCTGGGAGTCATGGCTGTGGCTGTGAGCATCTTGTAGTGCCTCATGGGATTTGTAGTTCCACAAAAGCTGGAGGGCCAGAGTTGGCCCACCCCTGTTCTTACACATAGCTATGATTGGCCTAGCACGGTCACATCACATGCTCCTCCATACCTGAAAGCACTAGGTATCTTCTTGGACTCACAATGCTGATTAGACTTGTAGCAAAGTGAAGAAAATATAAGTGTATACTGGTGGAAATAAATAAAAAGGAGATTTGCTTTATTTGCCTCGTGGCTGCTGCTTTGGGAAGGGGAGAAGTCATTTGTCTCTCCGGAGTGGGCACACCCAGATTAGCTGAAAGCTTTTAAAGATTTCCCTGTTAGTTGGCAAGAGACCTGCAGCCATACAAGGTAAAGTAATGTTTATCTGTGGACTGGTATTATGCAAGTTCCCCTGCAGTAAAGTGAAAGCAGGATGTAAACTCTCTTTATTCCTGTGGACATGAGGGGAACTCAGTCAGGTGTTAAGTGATGGCCTGGTGAAGGTGGGCAGGCTGACAGGTTGGTAATGTCATGAGTTTCATGGTGTGACCACCATGGCAACCTAAGACTCTGTAGACCAGAGGACCATTCAGCTGCTTAGCTGCTGCAAGTGCTGAGTAAGAAAAACCGCCACTGAATGCTGTGCCGCAAGTCAGCGCTCAGCACTTTAACTCACACTCACAGCGGAAGTGAATGTGGATGTAGAGCGCTGAGTGTGATGGAGAAAGTGGGGACAGAGCACCAGCGGCCATTTTTACTGTGGGCAGACCTGGCATCTCTGAAGAAAGGTGCCTGAACCCTGAAGGAGGAAATTAATTCAAACATTCAATGTTTTGGTGGACGAGCACACCAAATATTCGTTGGAAAATGGTATTTATTAGTCAAAAATATTTTGCTTAGCACTGTGCAGCCAAAGCTTTCAGTAAAGCTGCTGCAGCAAATTGAAGTACTGCAAAACAGCTATTCAGTGCTTGGCTAAGGAAGGAACACGCCTCGGGGGTGAACAACTCTGACTCTTCAGCTGTTATTGAACTACAAGTTCCATGAGGCATTGCAAAACTGAAAGTTACAGGTATGACTCCCAGAGGCAGAAGCAAGTTGGGATTTGTAGTTAATGCACAGCTGGAAGACCGGAGTTGCCCATCCCAGCTATAGACTTTTGGCCGGGTGTTCAGTGGGTCCACAACGGATGAGGCCTGGAACCATTGATTCAGAAGGACCGCTCATAACTAAGTGACCGTGTTTCCTGATGTGTTTATGGAGCTTCCGTCACTGGAAACAATTCAGTAGGCCCCCGATGCAGGAACTGGCTTAACAACCCACCACTGGGGGAGCTATATGCGCACCACCCTCAGAACGGTGCGTCACATGCACGACCATTACCAAGGACTACGACTTTTGCTCTGCAGGCATTCTGAGCAATGTAGAGTAGTTTAAAGTGTAGCCTGCAAATGCCTCGTTAATAGTTTACACTTTTGTATTAAAGTTGCCAGGGGAACCATTTAAGATCAGACAGATATAAAAAAACACCAGCATGACTCATTTCATTTCCGAGTACGCAAGAGAATTTCATTTAATGAGCCAGCCATTGGTTTTGTGAGATATAAACTCAGATTCCATTGAAGGTTTAAGTAGCCAGGAGTCACAAGCAAACAAAATGAACCTGTGAGAATTTGGGCTCCCACTTTCATGGGATTGCGGCGGTTAAAGTGTATGATTGTGAGGTAAACAGGGTTAACAAACTGTTTTTTATTAAATAATAAAATAAAAAAATAAAAAAATAAAAATAATTAATTATAAATTTCCCTCATAAATTAGAGTGTGTTTCCCTTTAAGAAAAACTTACCTGGTGTTTTCGGCGGGAAAATCCCTAGCTCGTGCCGTTTCTGGAAGATTCCAGGGACTTTAGGAGGTGCGTTCCACTTTAAGACAGCTGTTGCTAGGCGGGAAAACCAAGGCTCGTGCCGTTCTAGAATTTTCTGACAGCTGCCTATAAAAGGGGACACGCAAAGACAAAGAGGCACTCGGCTGGATTTTCATCACAGCAAGCTTCCCACCCTCCCTCCCTTATAGCATTTTTACTTATATGTTAAATTTAGCAAACAGGTTAATATCACGTCGCGGGCTTTTATGTGGTAGTGTCACCTCTTAATAGAGGGGGACTTTAAGTTTGGTTTATAATTTTTTGAGTTATTGCTTGAGTCTTATGGCTGAGCAATCTACGGTTGGTTTAATGGTTAAGATGTTAATGGTTTTGATAAAATACAATTTAAGAGAAAAAAATTAATAAACCAATAAAAGTGCCGCGGCCATTTATTTCCAAATATTTTGTTGTACGTGTCGTTATTTTAATATATAATACCGCCTGCAATTCCATGCATGGTTCCAGCAGTGCTCAGGAATACTGCATTGCATGTGAGATGTCATACACTGTTGAAAGTGCCTGCTGCACGCAATACAGCGTTGTGAGCGTTGTATATAAGATAGGTGCTCCTGGTGATTGTCACGGAAAGTGGCGTGCAGAGCCTCAGAGATGTTGCAATGAAAATATTGTTTATTGCAAATAATGGCACATATTTTAAACTAGCCAACGTAGCATCCCTTCCTCAAAGCTACACAGTGAGGAAGGGACTCTGCTTGGCCCCTGAAACTGGAAACCTAATTCCATTTTAATCAACGCATCTTTGTGATTACAGTAAACCGATGTGTGGCTTCCAGAGCAAAGACCTGTTCAGAATGTATTCGTGTGGATAAGGACTGTTCCTATTGTACAGATGAGGTAAGGCATATTCAGATCACCATCTTTATTTTTTAGTTTCTAAAAGAGTAAAGAGTTGACAAGTCTTTGTATATAATATATGATGTAAGGTGATGGTTAAAATGCAAATATAATATATTGCAGCTTATTGGTCCTTAGATGAGGTGCTAGCATTACTTTTTTCAGGGTTTATTTGTTTTTTTTGTTTTTTCCTGTGAATAACACACTCCCTTCCCTTGGGTGACTACGCACATTCCTCCACAGTAGCTATGGAGAAGACATGGCTGCACTATACACATGTCTCCCTTTTAATCATCTTCATTACATCGCGGATATTAGGATGCCTTTTAGTGAACAGCAATTCACAGATGTGAACCATCTTTGTCTAGTGGTGCAGTGCATTGCAAGAAATGATACAGGTCTGTTAAAAACTGCATTTTGGCAGCCTATTCAAGATGTATGGTCCACCTTATGCCAACGCAAGTTAATGCACAACATATCACACATTAACATAGGTACGGTAATACACCACAAATACTTGATCTACCCTTAGCCTTTGGCTAATTCCAAACGTGGACCAATGAAACATGTAGCACAAATTATTTAAAATTAAGCATTTTGCTCGGGTGATAATAGGTTACAGATGTAATTAGCTGGAAATTAGCCAACAACAGTGCAAAGGAGCCCCGCAGACGTCAGTCAGTCTGACAGATCCTGAAAGTTGATGATCATGATTGGTCCTAGAACTCAGTTATAAAACTAAGGCAAGGCTGAGGCTTAACTAGTGGGGATTTCTTTATTACACAGTTGACCTAGGTATATTAGTATATTCACTCAAGATTGGATAGTATGATGACACTCCCTGCATAGGTAAAACACAGGTCCACTTTAAGGTTCTAGTCATATGATGATTAAAATATAGTGTGAAAATCTAACCCTGACTCTCACTGGCAGAATTTTATAGATAGTATGTATTTAAAAAAATAAATAAAAATGTTTCAGTAAATAAAAAAACAATCCTGGTATAGAAGACCTGTAGAAGCATTGCAATTTATAACACATCCTGATAGGATTTCCTTGAAGGATTAGTCGACTTTGAAGTGATAAGTTGACTATCACTGATATGTACATGGTCATCCACAGAGAGATCTCCTTGCCATAGTTCCCAGCCCTTTTTATACCCATTAAAGAATTCCTTATCCCTTCCTCCATGATGTTCCTACACCTACATAATATAAGTTAAACAAATGTAGGGTTAACTGACCTAAAATCTCACCCCAATGTCCACGAGGAGCATCAGAATGCATTAGATGCATATACCAAAAACTGAGATAGCTTTGGGTGGACATTTCCATTGCCAATGGAGGACAAAACAGGAGGTTCACATATCTCCCTCCCTCCCCAGCAGTACATGCTTACTTTCCCTTGGTTCACTTGGTGAGAATGAGGAATGGAAGCTCTGTGCAAAGCTCTAAGTCATGACTTGAAGCTTACACAGGGCTGAGAACTCTCTCCAAGATTCCTTTTGACAACACTGGGTGCTGGAGCAGTCAATCACTCGGCACCAGCGCTGTCACATTAGAATAGTAAATTAGTCACATGTTCCCCATAATCAGAAATGCCTGGCATTTCTCTTATGCTCCAGGTTATCAAGCAAAGTGAAGGCAAGGTGAATACGTACTGCTGGGTATGGAGGAAGTTAAATCTGCTGCTTTCACAAGTATGGACAAAGAACGTGATCACTTTAAGTCATTTAAATACAACAGAATACCGCTTATAGTCTGGCATTGATGTTACCCCTTAACTTCAAAGCTGGTCACGTTGCTTGGCATACTACACTTACAGGGCTATTCACAATAGAGTTAAGGGTTTGAAGAAGACAGGAGAAGTGAACAATCTAGGCCAACAGAACTGATTTGGAAAAAAATTCCAATTCAGCTCACACGGTGCTTGGCATACTACACTTACAGGGTTATTCACAAAAGGGTGAAGAGTTTGGAGAAGTCAGGAGAAGTGAACAATCTAGGCCAAAATAACTGATTTGGAAAAATTCTCCAATTCAGCTCACTTTCTAGTTGAGCTATGTTGTCCTAGATTGTTCACTTCTCCTGCCTTCTCCAAACCCTTCACCCTTTTGTGAATAACCCTTTTAGATATATATTAGTTGAAGCCAGCAATTGTGTAAAGCAGTGCAAGAAACTAGCATAATGTGCAAAGAGCAGCTACCCATAGTAAACCATGAGATTGCAGAGTACCATTGTCAGAGGGCATCTGAATTCTAATTAGCTAGTATGGGTTTCCATGATTTGCTTATTACCATCGCTTATTACAGAAGGTTGTGTTATAAACAACATTTGACTTGTAACAGAGATGAGCATAGTGTGAGCACAGTATTATGCTCTGTGATGAAAATGTCAAAGCTCCAAAATGTTCTATGCAATTGTCCTCATTTTTGGATGAGTCATCATAGTTTATAGTTCTGTAGACTCCAGTTCTAATATTTAGGAAGGGGATTGGTTATCAGTGATTTTCACCAATTTTTCTTTATTCTTTTAGCATTTCCACAATGTTCGCTGTGACCTGCAGAGTAATCTCCTTGAGTATGGATGCAGTAGAGCGGGAATCGTTTACATGGAGAGTGAAGTTCGGACTCTTATGGTGAGACTTGACCTTAAGCAGATCCCAATAGCTCCTGGTTAGCCTTGCTTGCTGGCAACTCTCTTTCTGATTCATTGGCTGGCTTTCATATTGATGCTTTGGCTGCAGTATTTTGTCCCTGGCCAGGACAAGAAAATATAAGAAATTCAAGAACAGCAATGGAAGACATCATGCTTCTCTTATGACAAGTGTAATGTATTTTTTAGATACTGTTCATAAGTCTGGTTCATATTTAGACAATCTTGGACAGAACAGCTGGCTCTCTCACCAGTCAGAGGCTGGGCATACATGCTGGGAATTGTAATTCCACAATGACTTGAAATAAATAGGATTTCAAAAAGCAATACATTCACTTACACTAACTCAGCACTTACAATACAGCACTCACTACCAGTTAAAGTAAATGTAAACGTGATCAGTGAAACTGCATATTGTCTTTAGGATGCCATTGTAATTTCAAAAGTCATTTTCAGTCTTTTTAAATATTTAGGTTTCATAAAAAAAAAAGTAACTGGTGATCTTGCCATGAAGGTCTTTGTGCAGACACTTCCTGTTATGTGGTGACAACGCTCCGGCCCTGGTTTTGAATTGTTGTTTTGCATTGTCACTCTCTCACATGCACTTCCAGTGGAGACTATGGATTTATTGCACAGGCCTGTCCCACCAGTGTCCTGAACAATGACCTTCAGTCACTACTGGAGTACATGCACATAGACAAGAAGTGGCTGGAAAAAAGGTGAAAACAAGTATTTTATAAAAGAGAAAAATGGCAGTAATTTGACACAGAGTGCCATTCAGTTAAAAGAGAACTATGGGGTAAGTGTTTTTCCCCATAGTTCACTTAAGGGTCACGGGAGGACATATACTGGCATCCTCCCGTTATCGTGAGCTACAGCTCGCGGTATACTGAGACCGCAGCTGGGACAGATCCCGACAATGCTGTCGAGATCCACCCAGCTGCGTGAGTGACAGCTGGCTCTGCCTATCTAGAGGCAGAGCCAGCTGTACCCACCCCCTACCCTGTCGGAGCGGAGAGGGGGAATCGGAGCGGAGAGGGGGAATCCCTGCAGGGAGCCGTGACTGACAGTCACTGCTCTCTGCAGGGAGATGATCGAGAAGCGAGCGCGCAACGGTATGTGTTCGCTCACTTCCCGATCTATTGAGCCGACGTGTGACAGTTTCATTATCACACGTTGGCTCGAACTATGAGGATGAGCGATTTTCACTCACCTCATAGTTCTCCTTTAAGGTTTACACCAACCAACCCCCCCACCTTTAAACTGCCCCCTCACTTACCTGAATCATGGAGTGCTTTTTACCGCAGGCTTCTATTTAGCTTTGTATTCTGTGTGGGTGTGCGTGGCTTTTTTCCGTGCAGCCGCATCATCTGTTCACTGATCTATTCACTGGCTCAGTAAATGGAAAGACTGCAAGGGGCTCGTAGACCTTAAGGGAGCACAAGTGTGGTGACATCACATAACCTGTCTGCTACACACTTTACACATCTTTTACACTCAGCTGTGTATGTGTAACATCTCCTCTGTCTACAGAAAGAACAGATTAATACACAATTACTCAGAACACAAGTCTACCCTCAGCGAATGTCTATGCGTTTGCGTGCTGGCGAGGAGCAGAGCTTTGAATACCGTGTTTTTGAGCCTCTGGATACTCCTGTGGACCTTTATATCTTGATGGACTTCTCCTACTCAATGTCTGATGACTTGGAAAATCTTAAGAAAATGGGGGATAACTTGGGTAAGGACAGTTAAAAAAAAACTCACAAAGAATTTAAAGTATATATAAAGCCCATGTTTTCTATTTCATTTTGAATAAAGTGTGGAAAGCTTAGAACATTGGAGCCAAAACTGTGATCCAGGGACCGCATGTGGCCTTTATAATGATTGTGCGGCCCTGGCACACCAGCAGTCAGTAGTGGTATTAGAAGCATTGATTTGTTATAGAAATGAGCTTTACTAGTCTTACTGCCTTTTGCAGCATGGCTCCAGTTGCCAACCAAACCTATAGCATGTCCACAGTCTCTGGCCATTATTTCCTCTAAAATGTCTGCAGTCTGTGACAGTGCTCTTTAGCATTACATGTACTGAATATTATGTGTGGCCTTGTGGTGATGTGATCCCCGCTATACTTCACAAGTTCTCAACCACTGGCTTAGAACATCTGTCAAGTTTATATTGCTGTATAAGGAGACTAAAGGAGTGCCAGGTAATCGTCTCGAGAGTCCAAAAAAAACCTTATTGGCTTCACAAATGACTACAAGAAAATATACACATCCAACACATTTCATGGGGTCAGGAATCGCCCTTCGTAGGGGTTAAAAAGAAAATACATTATAGTGACATAAAACTCAGGAGTTAAATCTTAAAAATGCATTTAAATTCCTTATTTATTTATATAAATGTAGCATATCTGTGTATCACTCGGCTGTAGATCCTCAAATCATCTCTGAATTGGAGCTGACGCTGTCCTTCATTCTGGGGGGTGGCTACTTTTGTTCCCCATAGTCCCTGTGTGTGTTGTAAAGTAGCCATCGCACGAAGCTCACTCCTGTGATAGACCACAATCTCAATACAAATTAGTAAACTAAACATGATATTGTAGTCCATCACAGGAGCGAGCTTAGAGTGGTGGCTACTTTACAACGCACACAGGGACCATGGGGAACAACAGTAGCCACCCTCCAAAAGGAAGGACAGTGTCTGCACCAATTCAGAGAGGATTTGAGGATCTACGGTTGAGTGATACACAAATAAGATATATTTATGTTAATAGTTAAGGTACCCAAATACATTTTTAAGATTTAACTCCTGAGTTTAGTGTCACCTTAAATAAAACACTAATAAAAAAATACTATGTAGAAAACCGAAAAATACTAAAAAATAGAGAAAGTGCAATACAAAAATGCACTTGTGTGACCACTAGGGGTTCCCACTTTTAAGGTGTTGCTTAAGTGTGATAGGAAGATGGTGTATGATAAATATGCTATATCCTGGCACTATGTATTCAAATCGTCCTCCATATAAAAGGCCAAAAAAACCCATAAGATAAAATATAAAACAAGATGCTAAAATTCCAAACATCAAACCTGATTGTGGAATATGGCAGTAAGAAGCTATCTCTGCTGGGTGTCAGCATGTAAGAACAAACAACATATAAAAAGTAATATGTGTTACCACAACTGGCATGGTCCTGAGAAATGTAGTGCTGTTCTGCAAATGGATGCAGCATGGCAAAACAGAGTGTGGCTTTTGCTTTCTATTTTTAGGGGTGCTATAATTTGACCCCGTGGTTGAAAATTACTGACAGTATCTTTGTATACACATAGGAGCAATTCATTTTTTTACCTTGTGTACTTTTTTTCTTCACTTCCACAGCTCAGGTCGTCTCAAAAATGTCCAGTAATTACACTATTGGCTTTGGGAAGTTTGTGGATAAAGTTTCTGTTCCTCAGACAGATATGAGACCGGAAAAGTAAGTCAACCAGGCCTATTCACTCATTTTATTCCTCCTCCTTTATCATTGCACATACTGTATGTCTACAATGTATAGTAAGAGTAGGGAACTTTGATACTATGATTACAGACCAAAAAATTAATTTAGTAAAGGCCACAGGACTTAGGTTAACAAAATGGAGTCTTTGGAGTCTATTTATAGACACCATGGTTTGCACTCTGTTCTCGGAAAATACTCCACACTGGGACTGTATTTCACAATAAATTATATAATACAGAGCACATTGTGGAGCTACTTTTGTCATGTGGTGTGTTCTCTGCATAATGCTACAGAGAACACTTGCCTATAGGAGGTGAGCCCTGTCACATGACCTGTTTCCTCCTCCTGGAATATTATATTTTCCCATTAATTAAATTAAATGTTTTTTGTTGCTTCAAAGTCCGGAAGGAAGAGATGTGCAAACCACAATTTTAAAACATTCTGCTATGCTTTATACATGTGCAGGATGAGCTTTTAATTGAAAAGCAGTGGTATGGCCATAGTTGGACCATACTGCTGTTTTTAAAATGGGTCCCTTAGAAAGCTGTATATAAGAGTGTTTGAGTAAGAAAATGTATATTCTTATATTTGTAAGAAACTGACAAATATGTCTTATGGCGCTGATAAATGTCTGATGTCATTAGAGATAGCTGACTGAAGAGATAGCCATAACTTGATAAAGGCTTCTAGAAACATCTGGCAAATTCCAGTTAAGACATGATAAATGCTAATATAAAAATGTGCTGCATTTTAATGGATGATTTATATAATTGTATTCATTTATTTCTAATGATTTTACAGACAACCATACCCAGTTGTGGACATTGGTTGTGCTGTGTATGCCCCAAAAAACCTAATTGAAGTACACAGGTCATATGCAGCATGCCCTCGTTGCATTTGCTGGCAATTCTCAGTTGTCAGAATGACAGCTGGGAGTTTCTGTCAAAAAATGATGCTCAGAAATGAGATAGAGAGATACAAAGCAACATTGTTACTTATTTCTATTCATCTATAATGTCAGTTAAAGTGACACTAAACTCACGGAGGAATCCCTGTGGCGAGCGGTGATTGACAGGCTCCATGTTCCCTCTCGGCACTGCCGGTCAGAGGAAATCTCCCTCTTACCGGACTTTCTGGTATTGAGGAAGGTATCTGAGCATTTGGGCAAGTACTTCCCCAAATACTCGGTTTCGACACTGATACCAATACAAGTATCGGTATTGGTGCATCTCTAATTCAAACATCTGAGTTTAGATCCAGTTTACAAACCAGGGCCAGATTTCTGCATTCCAAAATTAGTCTGTGACCTAGGGCCACTAACGCCACTTGAATAGGAAGTGAAGGAATATCAACATAGGTTCTTACCCTTCCCCATGAAACTAACTATGTCTGTGTGTGCCTGTTGTATACATTTATTTCTTGCCTCAGTGACCATGATCAAGAAAAGAGAGATCTCCTCCTAAATGGGGGAAAAGCAGAAAACAGCTGACATATTAATTAACCCTTCCTCACACTGTCCAAACTAAAGCAAACGTTTTGGTTGGAGTTGCACGTTAAATGACACCTCCTTCACTTGTTATCTCACCTTTAGGCTGAAGCAGCCCTGGCCAGACAGCACTCCTCCTTTCTCCTTCAAGAATGTCATCCGTCTCACCGATAACCTTGAAGATTTCCGAAATAAACTTAGGAATGAGAGGATATCTGGAAATCTGGATCCCCCGGAGGGAGGTTTTGATGCCATTTTACAGACTGCAGTGTGCACAGTGAGTACTATCTTTACTAAACATGTCCAATTAACTGGGTAATTACATTGTAAAAAATGCAAGTGTGGCTAAATTAAGAATTAATATAAATAACAATGTCATAACTTTTTAACAATCCTCGGTCAAGTAGGCCCTTTCCTAACAGCCATCATGATAAAAAAGTAAACTTGGTACATGTTTGTTTTTTTGGTCTGCTATGGTGCGTTGCAGGCCTTAATGCAATGCATGTTAATGTGTGATACAACGTGCATTAAATGCACCAGAGTAAACCACCCTGGCCTGAATAGATCAGAAGGTCCCCACTGTCCATCACAGTCTTTGGTAGTCAGTGGATTAGCCCCACTCCCCCTGTTTCCCAGACATTCGTGGTTACTGAAGGTTTCCACCCTCTGTGATGTTCAGTAGCCAGTGGTGTCCCTCTCCCTCCCTAAAATGCATTTATGTTCAGTGGTCAGTAATGTGTCCCCCCCCCCCCCCCCCCCACCACACAACTCCTCGCGGCGACTGAACACCAAAGGGAGGAGGAAACTCCAACTGACCATGAATATCAGTTGTATTTCCCTTCTCCACTCTCCCTGAAAAGCTTTGGTGTTCAGTGGGAGGCAGTGCAGAGCACACTTGCCTCTCTCCTGTGCTGTGTCCCACACCACTTCTTGTGTGGTCAAATCACCACTAGAACTATGCTCTTACTATCAGCAAGGGATCACTCTGCCTGGCAGTATGTGCATAGGTGTGGAGCTAAGTGGTGGAACAAGTGTTCTGCCACTTGGCTCTGGGATGCGCAGCACTCCAGGATTGTGTTGAAATTTCACGACAGTCCTGCGGAATCTAGAACTTTTTAGTTACTTTAGTGAGAGGGGATTAGTGAGATGATACCAAAATAAGCAAGCATTAGAAGATCATACAAATGTTCTTAAAATCAAGGGACACATGATATAAAAAAAATATTTGTATTTGCTTTTCATTTATATACAGTCAACAAATACTGCATTACTTTAGAGAGTACATTTGGCACTGACACAAGTCTTTCCCCAAGGGAAACCTACATTGTCTGTATGGGAAATGCATAGTCCTCAAAATTTGCAGTATAACCCTACAAGAAGGAACATTTGGTTGTGCAATATTATGGCAATGTATCTACAGTAACCTATCTTTCTACAGAATGATATTGGTTGGAGAGATGGCAGCACCCATATCTTGGTCTTTTCCACTGAGTCAGCATTTCACTATGAAGCTGATGGAATGAACGTTCTTGATGGGATCCTGGCTAGAAATGATGAGCGCTGTCACCTGGATAGAACAGGCCTTTATTTGTATGACACCATTCAGGACTATCCATCGGTTCCCACTCTTGTTCGACTTCTTGCAAAAAATAACATCATCCCAATCTTTGCCGTTACCAACCATTCCTACAGCTACTATGAGGTAAGTCATTGAACAAAAGGGCTGAAGCTATTAAGGGAAATTACAAGTTCTCTTAATAATTTCGCAGTGATACCTTCACCACGCTCCCTTGCTGCTCCGTTCATCTGTTGTTGCTTAGAAAAGTTGGTATGAGAAGAGCATGCACCTTTCTTCCTCTCTGAGTAGCCACATGCCAGGCCTGAATGCTGTAATATAGGAAACAAGGGAGAAGTTAATTAAACCTGTGTAGGCTCTGAAACAGAACTGGGCCAGTCATTTTGTACTGAAGTTTGCAATCAAAGTAGATTTAGGGCTTTAGGGTCGATTTATCACTAGGCACATATGGTGGCTGTTTTACCTGACAAATAATTCGTAATTCTGCCTAACCAGTCCTGAGATTTACACAGCCTATTCAGGGCAAAGCAACACGTTTGTCTTGACCCCCCTTCCCAATCCCCAGCAGCACATACTCAAGTATATGTATCTGTGGAGGTCTGCAATAATGTGTACCTGTTACTTTGCCCTCTCTGCAGCTGGTCTTTCCCCATTACGGATTTACCATGGCTTGTTCTGCAACATGTCCCTGTATGGAGGCAGACATCTTGCTAAAGGCAAGGCTTTACTTCCTTATGTCAGAGCCTCCAGCAAGTAAAACTGTAATGGCATCATTCAATCTCACTTCAGAAACTAGCATTCAGAGGCAGCAGTGCCTGAGATCTTACACTGTAGATATACAGCTGCAAGGCTGTAGGCACAAGAATACCTAGGCACACTTATACACCAAGAAGTGCACTGCGAATTTTTAGGAGGAATGCAAGACTGAAGGTGGCCATACACCTATCGATTATCGTACGATAATCGTGGGAAATCCCGCGATCGTACGATAATCGGCAGGTGTATGGAAGGCGTGCGACCGTTTCTACTGTACGGTCGCACGTCTTTTGTCTTACGAGCATGTTTGAAAACCAGCCAAAAATCTTACGATTTTCGGCGTGTTTGTGGCGTGCTCGTAAGACAAATGCCGCACGTGCCGGTGTGCGCAAGCGCACACTGCCCGTTCAGCATTGCAGTCTTCGGAAGCCCGCCCCTTAGCGGGGCGGGCTTGCGATGATCGCAAGTAGGATCTGCCTGTCCAAGATGGGCAGATCGTACAACCATCTGCCTGTCCAAGATGGGCAGATGGTTGTAAGGTGTATGGCCAGCTTAAAGGTACATTTTTTTACGGTATTTTAAGTGGCAAAGGGTTAGAACCTATCTCAGTTTTTATTACTGTCTGTAGTTTGCATGTGTGTATTAGAATGCTATATTTTTAAGGTAATTTTTTTTTCTTGTTCACACAGGAATTAAGCAAGTACTTTACAATGTCTGAGATTGGCACATTAAGTGAGGATTCTTCCAACATAGTAGAGCTCCTAGACTTGGCTTTCAAGGTATGGCAGATCTTCTACTTTTTAGAATTCCTAGGACATTGGCAACCCAGTAGAATAGTGATACATGGTTGGTAGACTTGTTGAGTTTTTTCAACTACCCTTTTTCTACATAGGTGTTGTAACTGTTGTATCCATATTTAAAGATGAAAGAGTTGTAACAAAGTGTTTACTTACAACAGGGATGTTTTAGGATCAATTCACACCACATGCATTACCTAATACCATGTGTCATGGGTACACAGGGATCCTAAGCACAGAGGAAAGGCATACTCTCAAGTGCCTTCCCCTAAGAGGGGGTGAGGTGCTTTTCATGAGTCTGGGCTATATGCTATGGATTACTGATTATTAGTGAATCATCACATATAATCATCACATAAATGCCAACGTTTTGGGGCCACACAGTGTTCCCAGTGTCTTGTCACTTTGTCGCCCTGAATTCTTAATGCGTGTGCTGGTGATTATCCGATCTTCATGGCTGGGCACCATTCACACCACACCAAAAAAGTATGCCTTGCCTTACTTTTTTCAGTGCTGCGGAATGCAATGCAGAACAACCACCTAGCACCCTGCTTTGCCCATAGAACTGAATATAATGTCACTTGTGACATTTCTATACATGTCTAAAAAAAAAAAAGTACACAGTGCGATGTCCCGGGATCGGCGCCTCCGCATTGTGTCGGGCACTGCGCACCAGCCACTGTGCGTTATGCAAAGCAGCTGGTGTGATTGGACCCTTAATAGACACTGTCATGAGAGACTAATGGAGGCTGCAATTGTTGACCTTGTCTTTGAGAATACTAGGTTCCTGGCAGTGGCGTAACCACTCTCATTATACAAACATCCACTGAAACTGTAACCCCCACACACACACATATCAGCTAGGGAACTACAAGTCCAAGCATGCCATCATTGCCCCTGTACAACCCCCACCCACACACACACATATATCACCCAGGGAACGGCAATATCTGGTTGCTGTACAGGGGCAATGAGGGCATGCTGGGACTTGTAGTTCTCTAGCTGATATGTTATGCCATGAAGCTGTATTAATTACTGTCCACCTGAAAGTATTACAATGCCATTATAGAACTAAGAATAGAACATTTAAGATTATCTATGTTTTATTCTACGTTCTATAATGGCATTGTATTAATTGTGAACTACAAGCGGCCAGTCCAACTGGGACTGGGCCCCTACACCTTCACTGACCCACATGAGACCCCAACACCTGACTTGCCAGGGACCTCAAAAGGATCCCAACAACTGACACTGAGCACCCATCCCTCACCACCCCAACATGGACCCCGTCGACAACATCCAATACTGACCACCTGGCCTGCTATACCCAGGACCCCGATCTCCGCCCGACTGACACAGTCACGGCCTTCCAACCCCCAGCAATAGTACATTATAGCTGGCGGTATTGTGCATTGTGCTGTATAATGTACTATTGGTGGGTCGGGCAGCTAAAACTGAGTGCGAAAAGCATATCGCTGCAGATAGTAAAAAGAACCCCAAAAAATTTTACCAAAATACAGTGTACAATGTGTCGCTGGGATTTGTATTCCTCTATAGCTGATGGTGCATTGCTTTGTATAATGTATAGCACAGCACAATGTACCATCAGCTATAGCGGAATACAAATCCCACTATCCCAGCAATACATTATAGAGTACCCTGTGTGGGAAAGTGCAGGCTTACCTGAGCAGTCTTCCAGCAACTTGCTTCTGAGATCGGGCCTGTCTATCGGTGGCTGTCATCCTCCCATGCCTGCTCCTCCTTAATTCTTCTTCTTCTCCCCGTGTCCTTGTGCCGATCGTGGATGTGGGCAGGCGGTGAGCGTGAGGCGGGAAGGAGGTACGGCGTGTGGAGCGTGTATGCGAGCGGGTCTGGCAGCGGGAAGCGTGAGGCGGGGAGGAGGTACGGCGCGCTGGGTGTGTGGAGCTGTGAACAGGGCCAACTAATCGAAAGCCGATTAATCGATGATTGACATTTTCAATCATTGATTATAATCGACTTAGTCGATTAGTTGTTGCAGCCCTACATTCATCCCCAATTTCCAAGAACAGTCCCCGGATTGAGGAGACCATCCCCTGACAAATTATGTCCCTGGGAACATAAAATAAAACTTTTTTCTAATACTCACCTGATCCCTGGATCCACCGACAAGCGCAACCTCCCATCTCCTATGCTGTTAGAAGCTGCGTACAGCCTGTGCTGTTTACTACTTGAAGCGGCGCGCTGAGTGCAGCTTCTGAGAAGATACGCTGTTAGCATAGCGGGGGAAGCCGTGGCAGTGGCTCCCTCCCTCCGCCGACTCTCTGCCACATGCACCCGGCCGGCCCGCATCAGACGTGGCTCTGTCATCGGGCGGCCGCTCGCTCCTCAAGGGGGTCCGGGAGGCCCCAGCGGGCGGCCCTCTACAGTGCCTGATTAGAGAGTGACGGTGCCGCCCTCAGCTCTGCGCCGGGGCAAGTGCACCGGCTGCCTCCCCCGGTTGTTACGCCACTGGTTCCTGGCAGTCATGGGAGTTTTGCACGTGTCAAAGGATTTGTAATTCTGTCCAACCAGTCCTGACATTAACACTTAACTGTCAGACAGTTATCCAGGCTGCTGACCTGTCAAATTCCAATCCAACAATAAGAACATCACTGCTGCTCCCTGCAAAATCGCACCTTGAATGGGGGTAGGTACATAACCCTCTTGGCTCATAGAAAGTGGGTAAAATGATGATGAGTTTAATTTAGTTCACAAAAGCATCAGTGCTGGTTTGCAGATCGACGAGTCTTTGGGGACTTACGCCAGTGAGGAAGCTGCTTTTTGTTTTTTTACTACTTAAATAAAAAAAACTGCAACTGGGCTTTAAGCAACACAGTTTGTCACCTCCTGCTCCCTCCCTTACATAAAAGCCAATCTAGTGCAAAACATGTTAAGGTCCTTGGTTGTTTTAAATCTGCTGTTTAATACCTTTGTGAGAATAAAACCTCCAATTCAGCAGTGATCACATGGAACCTGATTTTGCTTTAAATAAAGGAGCAGACTGATGAGCTCATCCCTCTGCTCAACTTTAACGTTACTTACTTTAGCTACCATTGGGGCCAGAGAAGGACTCTTGTACACATACACATTTACTATTATCATTACTATAATTAATCAATGAATTAATCAATCCACTTACTATAATCCTTGCAGTACAATTTTATTTTCACTTAAAGCGTCATGTTTTAATATATACGTTTATTTTGTTATGTTCTAGTATATTTCAAGTGCTGTTGAATAAAGCTAAAAGCTTTGCTTACATATATTTTTTTTTTTTGCAGCGAATCCGATCCAGAATGCACATCAGGGATCATAACACCCCACGTTCCCTAAATATAGCTGTATCATCAGAAACAGCCAAACTAACTGAGGGAGGGTCCTTCCAGGTGACTCGCGGTGAAGTGGTGAGTGTCATTGGAATTAGTTGACGAACACCAGTAATATACAGCAATATAAAAATATGTAATTATTGGCTAACATCCTGATTACCTTGTTAATTGTGCCATTATTATCTTTTGATTGGATGATAATAACAAGATTCTGAACCATTTTTTTTCCTTACAGGGGACATTCAAGGTTAATGTGAAGGCTCTAGAGAAAGTTGGTGGGCAGGATGTTTGTAGTCTTCCAAAACAGGATCAGGCAGGCAATGTCATTCTTAGACCGTCCACGTTCACAAATGGCCTAGAGATTGATGCTTCTATCATATGTGATGTCTGCCCATGTGAACAGGTAAGTGGATACAAAAACTAAAGCTCATTGGACAGCATAAAGTGAAACTTTCCATTCCCTATGTATGTACACACAGTGGTACCTACCTATAATCCTCTCCATTAGATGCTTCAGATGTATTATACTGTGTCTACCACGACAGGTGCAGTGAGCGGTAAAGAGTGTTGTTACTGATATGTGAATTGTTTGTCAAACATGAACAACTAAGCCCTCATCTTCATCTCCAACCTCTTCCTCTGGCCACAGATGTATGTAGTGAGCAGTGACATAAGTGAGCGTGTCAATGCACTCTGTGGATCATGGCTTTCATATGCTGATGGTTTAAATAAAGCTCTCTGGATCCCAGTTTTGGCTGGGCACTACTTTTTATACTAAAATCTATCTATCTATCTATCTATCTATCTATCTATCTATCTATCTATCTATCCATTTACCTATTGGTCTGGATTTTTTTTAACTTGCCATTTTAACTCAGGCTACCAAACCCATGGCTTAGGGAGCACATAGCTGTCATTCATTATGAAAACACTAAATTCACCATAACCCTTATCAGTAACATCTATATTATTTCTTTAGCGGTTTTGTTTCTTTGAAGATCATAACTGTTCCTGTCTATTCTTTTCTATCCATAGCAAAAAGAAATGAATTCTCCCAAATGCAATGGGAATGGGCACTTTGTATGTGGGCTTTGTGAGTGCAAGGATAACTGGTAAGACTATTGCTGGGCTTTTCAATACAGATTTTGTTGAACACATCAATGTCTGTTTGCTATTTGAATGTAGTTCTTTAAATTGTGTGGTAGAATTGCAAAGTGGATATAAACAATCAGGGATTACTTAATCAGAATGTGTATTGCCAGTGGCTAGACTCTGGTACCCAGGGCACGTGCCCCAGATCTTCTACTGATTGCCCCAGGTGTCCCTTGCCATCATCTCATGTATGATCATTTCATTTTGGACATCCATGTTTACTACCACCTAGTAACTGCATTTTCACCTTACAGTTCTTTAGAATATTGTTGGGTAGAGAAATATAGAACCTGACATTTTTATTTCAGTGTTTGGTTTCTACAGTTACCTGAACCTCACAATGCATATTTCTTTTCAGTGAACTATATTAGACCGTTTAATAACAAAGATAAACATGATATGCACATTATGCTTTTGGAACATCAATTAGTTCATTATATTTTTAATTATTATTTCCCTATTTTTTTAAGCAATAGTATACATTTGATATTTATGTTCAGTCATATTAAATGAAAAGCAACTTCACCCACTTTTTATCATGGTATACTACAAACCCTTTAAAGGAGAACTATGGGGAGAGTAAAATACACTAATCCCGATAGTTAGAGCCGACGTGTGAGGGCCCTGTCACATTACCGGCACCAGAACGTGTGGCACATTAGTGTCTGCATTCCGGTCCAATGCGATCTGCAAAAATAGTGCATGCAGCATTTTTAGCCCATCCACACTGGACCGTAACGCAGACACTAATGTGCCACGCGTTCGGGTTCGCAGCAATCGCACCGCGGACGGGTGGCATGGCCGCGTGGGCCATTGAGTTCAATGCACCGCCACGCCCCCTCCCACCCCAAAACAAAGTGGTACGGCTGGGTTGCGTTCCAGTGCATTCCAGAGGCATCACGCACTTGAACGCACTCTTGATGGGCCCTCACACTTCAGCTGTTACACAACGGTTCTATTGATCTATAACTGAGCAATCACATACCACTGATCGCTCAGTTCATGATCTTCTCCACGCAGAGAGTTGTGACTATTAGTCACCGCTCCGTGCAGGGATTCCACCCTCCCTTCTGTGTTTCTCCAGCGCTGACTGGAGGGACAGACAGGGGTGGGTGCGGCCCAGCTGGCTCAGGATCTAGAGAAGAAGAGCCAGCTGTCAACCAGGTAGCGGGGTGGATCCTGACAATATTGTTGGAATCTTTCCTGGCTGTAGTGCGGCTCTGCGCTGTCAGCATATAGTGGGCAATAGAATGCTATATGCTGACTTTTGGCTAACTCCCAGCAGATGCTCAGCACCAGAGATGAACCTGGGTTTGGTGTGAAGTGAACCCAGTCTGGCTGAGTTCACCCAAGCCTGCCCAAAACTGTGACCGCCACTTTCCCCTACCAGTCCAATCACTGGAGGCAATTGCACCGGGGCATTCCCTGCCACTTTGTGAGGTATAGCTGGAGAGCTGGGAATGTGCGTCTCTGAAACTGATTGGGCCGGGAGGAGGGCAGTCACAGTTTTGAGCGGGTTTTGTGAACTGGGTTTACACCAAGCCAGGCTCACCACTATTCAACATCTACTAATGTGCTGCATTAGTTAAGATAAAAAAAAGCTGTCAGGGTTTAATATATTAAAAGCAGCCATTTTAAATGCTGATTTTTTTTTTTTTGTGCTTTGGTGCTCCCTACCGCTTGTTATATTTAAATATGGCTGCTAGCTGTCAAAGGTTGGTGATTTCAAACATGCTGTGTCTATCTGTTTAACAGGAGAGGAGAGTTCTGCAACTGCTCATCTAGTCAAGCTGTAGACAGTCAATCATGTATAGCCCCTGGAAGCGATGAGATCTGTTCAGGACAAGGGGAGTGCCTGTGCGGAGTTTGCCAGTGCTTTGCAGATTCCCCAGACCGACGGTATGAAGGGAGGTACTGCCAGTACAATACTGCCATGTGTCCACGCGTAAGCGGCTTTATGTGCAATGGTAAGTATTGCTGACATCAGGCATGTAGATTATTGTGCAGCTTTTACATAGATAGGTTTAATTTGTAAATTACTGTAATCTCAGTGTCTGTGACCTGTTAACACCAGTGTGTTGCAATAAAGCGCAGCAAAATACGTGCGTTACTGCAATACACGGTAAAGTATGGAGCCCAGTGCAATACGTTGCTATTAATAATTTTATTTTTTTAATAACAATTTTTTTATTTTCATACACATAATACAAAATTACAGAATATTGCAAGTAAGACCATTTGACATTGATAATATCCAGGGAAGAAAATTATATGTTTAGCTAAACAATCCCACAAACTGTGCAGTTGTGTTCAAGAAAAAAGTACCACGGCTGCATATTCATAGTTACATAGTATTTGAGGTTGAATAAAGACATTAGTCCCTCAAGTCCAACCTATTAGGATCTCATTCTAGGAGTACCTGTACCCCTGTATATTACCTGTACCCCTGTATATTACGGTCCTTTAAGAAATCGTCCAAAAATACCATTTGCTGGAGACGTTGTTTTCTTTCTTTTGTTGTACCGTTGTGCCCTGTATATCTTTGTGCAAAAAAACAATAAAATAAAAATTTTGAATGGAAAAAATAAGTCAATAACTAAACTGTATACTATAAACGTAGTATACATATGAAACAAAATCAGAAACAAAAACTTAAATTGAAACTGAAATTGCCTCATTCCACTCCAAGGGTGTGGCAATTCTAAGATAGCCCTAATCAACCCGTACCAGGTCCTGTTCACCCCTGGTTCCTCCTCCCAGTTCTTGGCCCAGTTCAGAAAACTGGTGATGGCCCCAGTCGTTGCTACTAAGTTTGAATGGCACCTCAATGTGCCTATACAACACACATTGTGGTGAAGTAAGTAAAGCAGGGCCATTTTTTTCCAGCACTGGTGCTTATTCAAAATGAGAGGCAGTGGCGGCACCAGGGTGGGTGTCACCTGATACAGCCGCCATCCATGCGTTATGATGTCCGTGGTGTGACGTCATCATGCATGCATGTGTGACGTCAAAATGCTTCTAGATCATTAACCCTTTGTTGGGGCAGACAGTGTTCAAATATAGTTTACAACTGATTCATTTTTTTTGTGACATTAAACTCAGGGGTTCATTCTTAAAAATGCATTCAAGTACCCTAACTATTCACAAAAATAGGTATTAATGCCATCCTTGCTTTCCTGTGCCCAGTGGCAACCGCACACCCCGTTTCGTGTTCTGGTGTCTCATAGACAAGATGTGAGAGAAAATCTTCCTATTTGGAGTCACAAACAGACAGAAAACCTGCCAGAAACATGAACTATCCCACACTCTATACAGGCTTTGATGGGCTTTGATCTGCGGTATAAGGGATTTATAAAGGGCCTTAGGCATACTGGGATGTTTAAGGGACGCTTACTTTGCCTTAGGGCTTGTTCACACCAAATGCAGACCAGATCTGCATGAGTTTCTGCATTTTTTGCCGCGTTTTTGATGCGTTCCGGGCTGTTTTTTTTTTTTTTTTAAATGCTCTGGAACTGAACGCTATGATGTGAACTAGAGCCCAAAATCCATTGGAATACATTGGGCGCAGTTTTGATCTGGTCTGTAACTGCTCTGCTCTTGGAACGCGCTGTGAGCAAGGCCTTAGTGTCAATGTATCAATTATGCAGTCATGACCTATATGTACTATATATCCTATAATACATTTATTGCAACGACCTAAAGTTAAGTCCGGCCAAAACACTTTTTCCTTGTTTTGCTTTGAATAGAGCGGGAAACATTTAGAACCCCTGTTGGGATTTTACTGCTATCCAGTGCTCTGTTTCAAAGATTTCCCTTCACTTACTGTACCAGGACCACAAATCTGCAACAAAGATACAGGCATCAATAAAAAAAAAACTGATCAAGGTTTTAGCCTTCTCCTACTCTACTGAAAAAAACAACCATTTTTGTCTATGTAGCTGTTGAAGATTTACCCTCTCTTCCTGTCTTGTGAAACTGTTGTCACCAGGGCAGGAAGTGACGGGAGAACTTTATAGTGGAGCCCAGGATAGCAGCAAAAGTTCTTAGCTTCCATTCACACCTATAGTTTAGGTGCGTTTAGGGATTCGTGCAGCAGGAACTTGCAATTTCCTGCAGCAGGAAACCCTAATCTGCCATTTACAAGCGGCAGCTGTCGCCAGTGCAAGTTATGATCGGGTGACAGCGGCTGCATTTGAAAGCGGCAGAATGCTGACACACTTTTACACGATTACATGCAGTTAGGAAGAGATCACACATCGATAGTGCGTCCAGGCATAGTGATCTATTCCTAACTGCATGTAATATTATCATATATGATTACAAGCGGAGTGCCGCTAGACTGACGCTTTCAAATGCAGCAACTGTCACCCGATCATTAATTTGAATGGGTGATAGCTGCTGCTTGTAAATGGCACAGTAGGGATTCCTTCTGCAGGAAATTGCAAGTTCCTGCTGCAGGAATCCCTAATCGCACTAAAAGTATAGGTGTGAATGAGGGCTAAGCCTTCTCACGCTATCCAAAAATAAAAATTGGATAGACAGCACACAAAACCCAGTACAAGCCACATCTCTTGTACTGCTGAGCTCTGAGATTCTGCAAACTTCTTAATACAAATTGTCCAGTTTGCTATACAGCGCGTTTAGACATTAGATAAGCGAATAAAGGTAAACTTTATGAAATAGCGTAGTTAAGCATCTCTGTGATTTCCCAAATTTGTATTTTGTCCTGCAGATAGAGGGCATTGCTATATGGGAGGCTGCGCGTGTAAGGCTGGATGGGAAGGACCTGGATGTGATTGCCCAATCAGTAATCAGACTTGCTTGGACAGGAATGGCGTACGTATTGGCAGCAGCCTAAATATTTTTTATATGATATTTATTTTACTGTTTACAAAATGAAATAACAGGAAAGTATATTACAGTTGACTTAGAACCAGGGTACATGGAGAGGCAACCAGATGCCACGTGAATACACAGTTACAAAATTACAAAAATAGAAACGTTCATATCAAACCAGGAAAGGCATTGAATCAGCAATATAGCGTCTCAGTATGAATAATAAATCAATCAATCACCTGCTGCAGGTAGGAGGAAGCATTTCTTCAGTCACATTTTCCCCAGTGATTACACTGCAATACTGTAAGATAAGAAGCCGCAGTAGGTGCTGACCTGTGTCAGACATTTGCAACTCAGACAAGAACCGCACAGGGACCTGGATATTATTATTATATAGGATTTATATAGCGCCAACAGTTTGCTCTTTACAATGTAAGGAAGACATTACAATCACAATACAAATCAAGACAAGCTGATAAGGAGGGCCCTGCCCCTGAGGGCTTACAATCTAAAAGGGAGGGAGAAGTGATACATGAGGAGGTAGCTGTGTGGGGATGAATTACATGATATACATGATTGTGTAATCTCTAAGCTGGCACATCAGTACATGGTGGTAGACGATGACCTTGGATGAGGCCTGCACAATTTTTGGCCAATGCAGCACAACACACACAGCAGTCACATACGTGCAGTGTGGTGTGCTTTGGATCATCGATGTGTATCTGTGTTAGGTAGTCATTCAGAATGAAAGGCAATGCACCTCAATTCACAGTTACATTGCTATAACACAGGGGTGGGCAACTCCGGCCCTCCAGTTGTTGTGGGACTACAAGTCCGATGAGGCATTGCAAGAGTGACAGCCACTGGCATAACTACCAGAGGCATGATGGGATTTGTAAGTAAAGCATAGCTGCAGGGCCGGAGTTGCCCATAGGCAGAAGTACATAGGATTGAATCCTGACTAAAACATTATAACTGGTTGATGGAAGTGGTTCATCTAAATGAATGAAATGGAGTTTAAAATGGAGTGAAGCTGCAATTATACTGATTACCATTTTACTTTCTACAGGGCCTGTGCAACAATCGAGGGAAATGCGAGTGCGGCCGCTGCAAATGTGACTCCGACTCCCAGTTTACTGATGCCTTATGTGAATTTAGCAGCTCTTTGGTAGGTCTGCTACGATAGCCATATTGTTTTATATTAATGACCACACATGTATGCTGCATATTAATTTGCCAGCAGGGCTCATTATTACCCAGATCCAAACTGTACATATGTAGCACATTGTTTGAATCCTGTCTGAGCCAATTGCACTGCAATCGGCCTTTGAAGCTGCTGGCTAGTTTTAGCAACATCATGCCAGCCATGGTGGTACTCACCTACCCTTATGCTATCCACATCCCTTGATTAACAGCATCAGAGCACAGGACTAAGTACTAAGGCTAGACATACAGTACATAAGAAGATTTCTCATGTTCAGTCCTGCGAGAGAGAAAAGTCACTCAAATCCTCCGTCCATTCTAAACATGTGCATTCAAGAGATCTGGCCTAACCCATTCTTGTGTAAGAACAGCTATTAACATTTGTGCAATATTGACACACGTACTTGACACAGGTCACCCTATCATGGCCTAAAGCAGAGAAATGAGCGGTAAGGGCAAAGTATTGTCTTCACACATGTGAAATGTATATAATCTTATCTATGAGTGTTAATGTTCTGAAAACCTTGTTTCTGTGTAGAGTTAGCAGACATCTCAACTCTCCCGGACGCTCCGGGAGTCAGCAGATAGCACGGGAAGCATTAGCTTCTTTGCTATCTGCCAATATTTCAGGGGGGTGCCCCCCCCCCCCAAATGGGGGGCAGAGGAGGAGCTGGATTTCCCCCTCCCCGCTCCGATCCGCCAGCGCTGACTGGGAGGGGGCGGGTACAGCTGGCTCTGCCTCTAGGTAGGCAGAGCCAGCTGTCAGCGATGCAGCTGGGTGGATCCAGACATAATTTGTGGTGTACTAAGACGCCGCAGCTGAAGCAGATCCCGACAATTATGTCTGGATCCGCCCAGCTGCGGCGTCTTAGTACACCACGAACTGCAGCTCGCTGTATACTGAGCTTTGGGTGACGGGAGGACGCTAGTTTGTGTCCTCCCGTTACCATTAGGATAACTATGGGGAAAAGCCTATACCCCATAGTTCTCCTTTAACCCCTTCGTGACTGACGACGTAGGTTAAGCATACAGTTCAATAAATTATTAGCATACAGAAAGCCACTCACTGTCCACCTACAAAGAAGCCAACATTACCTACATTAAAACGCATGTAATCGTACCATATACCAGCATTTCTCAATCTTTTTTTCATGGCACCCTTTAAAAGTATGGAGAATCTCAAGGCACCCCAGTCTAAAATGTAATAAAAAATAAATGTAAAAAGCGATGTGTGGCCCCTCCAAACCCTTGTACCAGATTGGGGCCTGGTATGGATTTTAAGAAAGGACCCCACGTAATGACTCCATCTCTGGAACCCCCCATGAATTAGCATTATTACAGGAATGATGTTGTGCACAAATGTTTAGGCACCCATGTCTGCCATGGCACACTGGTTGAGAAAGGCTGTCATATACACTTACACGTGGACTGCCGCTTACCGATGCAGCCGCTGTCACTCGGTCAACTTGATTGGGTATAGTGGCAACATCTAAATGGAACACCTAGCACTCCTGCTTCAGGAATCCCAAATCGTGCCGTGTGAATGGGGCCGAAGAGTCCAGATGTCACCAGATAAACTCTGAGGCAACTGCTGAACTTGCTAGTGATCAGGTCAGAATATACTGTACAAGCCAAAGCATACCACCATTGGATAGCTGTGGCCTGCCTAGAAGAAGGAGTCCAATCCTGTGTGTCCCACCAGTGAATAAACCAGCAACCAACTTGAATCTCCCCAATAAGTCCATGTTCACATCTTGGCGGCTTTGTAGCATGCGTTCACGCAACGCGTTCAAAATGTGCAATGCACAAATGTGCAAATCTTTTCAGCCAGGACACAGCCATAAACCAAACAAAAATGTAGTTGAGAGTGGGAGGGTCAGAGCTTAAATTTTTTATTGCTACTATGCTTTCCTGTCCTGGTGACAACTACACCCATTTCTTGAAAGGGTGTCACAAGAACAGGATGTGAGGGAAAATCTCTCCAATATGTGGTCACAGATAGAAATATAAGCCTGACTTACTCTTCCTCTCAGTATCCAAGGTTTAAATTTTTTTTTAATTATGGTACGCTTTAAGCAGAGCATGTTATTCACATCACTTTATATACATATGACCACTAGAGGGGTCATTTACCAATCTGTATCTGAAATACAGTAATCAAAATATGGAACAACAAACATGTCAGTTCGTTTCTGAAAATACACCCTAGTACACATTTTAATGTAACACCTGAAAATGTGTATGTTACAAGTTTTGATGTGACTGGTGTTCTCTTTACTGTCTGTGTGAACAGCGCCTCCTGGGTGCCTGTGAAGATGTTAGGACATGCGTGCAGTGCCAGGCCTGGGGCACTGGGGAGAAGAAAGGCAAAAAGTGTGAAAGCTGCGAAATACAGATAAAGATGGTGGAAGAGCTCACCAAAGGTAAGTGTACAGAATATCAGTGTTAGGAATCAAGTCTTCAGGAGAAACCAATGATCATTAGTCTGAGAAATGGACTTCACATGCAGCTACCATGGCTCCTAATATTTTTTTGCTCTTCTTTCCTGTAGTTGATGACAGAACTGAGAAATGCACTTTCCGTGATGAGGAGGACGATTGTACCTATCATTACACAGTAGAGGGAGTGGGTGCTGTGTTAGCCAATTACACTTTGCTGGTGCAAAAGAAAAAAGGTTAGAAAGATGTCCCGTATTTCATCAATGTCCATCCTTTCCAAGTGTCCTTCTCCTTATTTTCTATACTCCTTCTTTCAACTGGTATTGACAGTGGTAAACCATGCACGAGGCAGGAACACTCAGGACAGTCCAAGCAGGTTTGTCCTGCTTTGTTATTCAGCAAGGCAGCAAACAAACACAATTCCAATGCAGGAGGGCTTTGTACAGCAAGTCCATAGCATAAAGCAGACATAATATCTGCTTATCTGAGCTACTACACTCAACTAAAGTCCCTGAGTAACAGGCGGCGCCCCTACTGGATTTTCCAAAACAGACAGGCAGCTCTTGTATCTTTTTAGTTTTCTGTCAGCAGTCAGCCTTTTCACACAGCAACAGAAAGAGAGAGAGAGCCCTGAGCATCAGTCAGCTGTATATACAAAGACCTGGGGACAACTCAGGCTAATGAATACGCCACAGCTAACAGGTAAATGGTAAACCTAGGAATGAAGGCTTTATCCTTCCCTAAGCTCTACAAAGCCTCTGAGCTCCAGAACCCAGAACAGAATTTATTAAGATCTGAGAAAACAAAAAGTTTATTTTCAGCTATATACCCTGGAGCCCCTTATCATGTGTAGGTGGGAAACCTAGGTGATGCACATACACCATCCACAATCCTGCCAGCCAGTGCCTCACTATCTATCTATCTATCTATCTATCTATCTATCTATCTATCTATCTATCTATCTATCTATCTATCTCTTACACTGCCTTCACTCGTCATTCTCTTTCTATATATAACTTTCTATATACAGTATATTATCTATCTATTATCTATCTATTTTCCAGACTCACTCATACCTGTTTCATGCTCAGAAGTTATATTATTCTTTACCTCTGCAGAATGCCCACCAGGTGCCTTCCTGTGGCTCATCCCTCTACTCATCTTCCTGATGCTGCTCCTTGGTCTGTTGCTTCTATTGTGCTGGAAATACTGTGCCTGCTGCAGGGTAAGAAATGAATGAAAGCCTGCCATTACTGCTAATCTGATACAATGTATGAAGAAATTACACAAGGAAGGCAGAATAAGTATGATAGTGAGAGGAAAGCATTGCAGGACGCAGTGGAATTTGTTTGATGTATAGACCAATATTCAACATACGCTGACCTTCCCTGGAAAATGCCGTAGATGTGTAACTCCTTAATACAGTAATGTATTTGAACTCTAAAGAGAGTACATCATTAACAAATGAAAAAGCTGTAACAATTTCCCAACATATCAAAGAACACCTAATTTTTCTATGTAGATGAAATAGCGAACGTATAAACGCAGCTGATAACAGATGGCAATTTACTGGTGGGAGGAAAGGTGGTGATAAGCAGTCATAGGCTTCAAAGATAAATCGTGTCTTCTTGTTGCAGGCTTGTCTGGCTCTACTGCCTTGCTGTGGACGAGGTAAGGAGTAAACTCAGCAGATTTAATTTATGATCCTTATTCATTCTAAACCTTTTTTTTTATTAATCGTTAGTGCATTTGATATTTGTAAGCCTTTTCCTCTAAAATACAGATTCTTTAGAAGGAACACTTATAAAGAGTAATTTCAAGCTGCATTCCAGGCAGATATTAAAAGGCTAATTAATACAGTCTTGTACTTATTAAAAGAGGATCAAAGCCAAACCTTTTTTTTTTGCCTTTAGTACTCTTTTGGGTCACTGGAGTATATTTACTAATGTCCTGCCCATTATATGCCGACATTGCAGAGCCGCGCTGCAGCCGGAAGGGATCCCAACAATATTGTCATGATCCACCCTTGTGCCTGATTGACAGCTGGCTCTGCCTCTCTAGAGCCAGAGCAAGCTGTGCCCGCCCCCTACCCCTGTCTGTCCCTGCAATGAGCACTGGTGGAATAGATGGAGTGGAGGGGGGAACCCCTGCGGGTATCGGTGACTGATAGTCACCACTCTCTGCAGGGAGACGCTGTGAGCTGAGTGATCAGTGGTTTGTGGTCACTCAGTTTTTGAGCTACAGAGCCGGCGTGTGACAGCTGCAGTGTCAAACGCCGGCTCAAACCATTGGCAAGAGTACATTTTAAGAATCATTAAATGTATTTGTAATTTTTGTGACAAATAGATTTTTATATGCAACTACTGTAAAAAACGGATTTTATGTCTTTATATTAGCTTACAGTAACCCCCCCCGGTGTCCTACTTGCAGCCCATGTGACCTTTTGGAACTTTCTGTGTGGCCCTAAGGGGTTTTGGTCCATACTTAAAGGAGAACTATGGGGGTTAGGGCTTTTCCCCATAGTTCTCCTAAGGGTAACGGGAGGACACAAACTAGCGCCCTCCCGTCACCCTAAGCTCAGTATACCGCGAGCTGCAGCTCGTGGTATACTGAGACCGCCGCAGCCGGAACGGATCCCGACAATTCTGTCTGAATCCACCCAGCTGCGTGAGTGACAGCTGGCTCTGCTTATCTAGAGGCAGAGACAGTTGTACCTGCCCCCACCCCCTACTTAAAGGAGAACTATGGGGTTAGGGCTTTTCCCTGGCATATAGCAGTTAATGGTTTGATTTATTTCTTTTACACAATCTTAATTCCTTTCCGTGCTGTCCACACCTTTTCTCTTTCTTTGTTTTATTTTTTGTTTTTATATGTAATGGATCACACTGAGAGACATATCAAATTAGTGGCAGTAATTTTTAAGTGGGCTGTATTTGGAGTCATTGATTTGTGAAAAGGCTGTAATAACTGTGATCCCTATCAGTTTCATGCAGTGTACATCCTAAAGCATGCCTCCTTCACCTTCTCTGAACATGTCTTGTAGTAGCTCCACAGTCTCTGACCATTTCCTGAAGCATGTCCCCAGTCTCCAACTGTAGAATGTTGGGTGTTTCTGTTCATCTTTGGTAGACTGTCGACAGTCTCTGTCCATCTTCTGTAGCATATCTGCAGTCTCTGGCCATCTCCTGGAGCATGGCCCAGTCTCTGACAGCTCTCTGTATTGTTACATTTACTGGATATTATGTGGGGCACTTTAGTGATGTCAGGAGCCACACTTGAGGCACTCTATATTAAGTAAGTTGACCACCGCTGCTGTAACCCGCCACAATAGGCTGGGAGAAATAGGACCAGCACTGAAAGCATGCACATGTGTTCACAGTAACCATACTGACAGGAGAAACTAGAGTAATCAGAAGGGTGACAGGAGAAAGTAGAGTGAGCAGAAGGATGACCTCTTTAATACTCCGATCAGCAGGGCGAGGTGTGTTTTTCACCAAGCCATGCTGCTGCTTCAGTTAGAGTTGAAATTCCATCTGTCTGGCAGCTTCACAAATTTGGCTGCATAGAATTACAAATCCTTTGTCAGGTAAAACAGTTCCCATATATATATATTTCAGTCGTGGATTTGGCTGTCTGTCCGGAGTTCAGCTTTTAGTTAGTTGGTCATTTGTAAAACTCAGGTGTAGAATCTATCATTTTATAACTTGTTAACTCCATTGGTCTATTCCTATTGTAGGACGCAATGTTGGATTTAAGGAAGACCACTATATGCTACGGCAAAGCCTTATGACAACTGATTATCTGAACACTCCACTTGTACGGAATGGAAACCTGAAAGGTGGAGACACTGTTAAATGGAAGATTAACAACAATGTACACAAACCACCTCCATCACCCGATGCCTTGAACCCGAAGGAGCTGGGTATGTATATAAAACAGAAGTGAGATGACTGGGTGTGTGTGTGTGTGTGTGTGTGTGTGTGTGTGTGTATATACCGTATTTTGCGGTCTATAAGACGCTCCGGACGATAGGACGCATGGCTTCTGTGACAGAAATTCTATGACAGAAATTCTGTCACAGAAGCTGCAGTTAATGACCGCTGAGAAAGGTGGCGCTGTCTCAGTAATGACACAGAGCAGACGAAGAAGGACGTTCTTCGTCTGCTCAATGGGCTCTATGGTGAGCTCCTATGGGGGACCGTGACGGGTCACGGTCCCCCAGAGGAACGGGGGACCCAGAAAACCACGGCGGGGGGCGGACACGATCGCCGATGCCGCCGCCACTCGATTTAATACAAGGGATCTAATTAGATCCCTTGTATTAAACGATCAGCGGCTCCCACTGTACATTCAGCTCTGCTTGTCACGAGCAGGGCTGAATGTACAAAAAGAAACTACTCGCCGGCGCCCGAAACTGCATGTCCCGGGCGTCGGGCGATAGGTATTCGCTCTATAAGACGCAGGCACATTTCCCCCCTCCTTTTGGGGGAAAAAAGTGCGTCTTATGGAGCGAAAAATATGGTATATATATATATATATACACACAGTATAATACAGTGAGTATAAGACTTTGAGGGTGCCGAGAAAGTGGATCAGTTAAAAGATAATGTGCTAAAAGTAAAGGTATATTTTAGAAAGCTGTTCTTTAAAGGCAAAGTCTACCTTAACCTCCTTGGCGGCCTGATTATGTCAGTATTTTCTATTTTTTCTATTTTTGACTTTTGAATTTCCCACCGGTTCCGCCCCTGGCGCTCGCAGGGAAGGTACCCGGAAGACAGATGCCGGCATCGGGGTTACCGTTTTTGGTACTGAAAATGAACCCCGAGCCACACATGGGATTACTGCCAGGGAGGTTAATAGATACACACTTCTTCATAAAATGTGCATTTATAATTTGTTTGCATTGGAGCTCATAGAGCATTGCAACTTTAATCAGTGGATCACGGGTGCAGTGCTCTTCAGCTTTTCCTTGTTAGTACCACTTACTTTGCCAGGTTTTTGTTGCCCTGTCCCAATTTTTTTGAGTGGTGTTGCTGCCATTAATTTCAAAATTACCTTATTTTTTTATTAAAATGGTACACAGCGTCCCAACTTTTTTGGAATTGGGGTTGTAAAAGAAGTATATCTGATGTTAGGTTCATATTAAGGATTTTACTTTATTTGATAACAGGATTGAATTTCCAGCATTATTTGTGTAGTGTTTTGGTGTTTCTCCTGTGCTATTAGTTTTGGTACATGATGGCTAAAATATATATATGTCTTCTTTTTCAGTCCAATATGGAGTTTCGCTGAGGTTGGCTCGCCTTTTTACTGAGAACCTGTCAAAGCCTCAAACACGGGAATGTGAGCAACTCCGTCGGGAAGTTGAGGATACGGTAATTAAATACAGTGGGCTGCCACACCTTCCCCTACACTCTGTGGTGATCTTTTTTCCATTTCTTCTAGCCATTCTTGGTATAAAGTCCAATGTGAGGATTTATTTTAGTCAGCATACAACCAACATTTTAAGGCACACAGGACCTCTTCATGAAAGTTAAAATTAATCCTCAGTCCTAAATAAAGCCTCACCTTCAATTTTCCCAATATTGATGGCAATATATATTTATATTAGACACAAATTGGTGTCACCCAGCTGTACCTGCATACCTATACAATGTCCACCTTTCTGTAAATCTTTGCGGTATGGTACCTAATGTATATTCTTATGATCTGGAAGAATATGAGGTTTATTATATGACATTATATGGTTAAGCACTAGCTTTACCTATTTCTGTGAGAAATGCTTTGAATACGCATCAACTAATCCTAACACCATTTAAAGTGGACGGTATCTATAGCTAAAATATCTTTATTTTTGGGTAGAATATAATAAGAAATGCATAAAACCCTGTCAAATCTAATTTTGTTGCCATTTGTACCCCTTGGCTGAGGTTTAGCCTCATTTCCTGCCCTGTAGACATTATTTTCTTGCAAGAGGTGAAAGAAAATCCTATCTTCCTCTCTTTCTATAATAATTTTCTCAAGGATGAATAGAGAGAGTCAGACAACAATTTAAACCCATCAGGGGTATTAACATATCCACACTATCCAATGCTAGAGATACACTTTTAAGACACATAGCTTGTGTGTAAACATAATGCCACTCATCTTGGTAATATGCCCACTTGGTTAACACTTACTTCTATGTATTATTTAACCTACAGGGTACCTGCTACACTCACCCTATTGGCCATGACAATGGAAGACAATGAAGTTGCATGTTGTACACATTTATAATAAGTGTTATCTCACTATAAACTTTTATTCCCACAGCTAAATGAGGTGTATAAAGTAATACCTGGAACACATAAGGTGAAACAGACAAATTTCCGGTAAGTCTGGCTTTTATATGGAGTATTTAGATTCATCTCGCGCAAGACATGAAATTATAATTTCTCTATTTCTTGTTTCCTTCTAGGCTACAGTCCAATGCAGGCAAAAGGTATAAGCTCTGTCTAATTTTTTGTGCAACTGTTCACCTTTTTTTTTTAGAAAGAACAATATGCAATGATTTATGGAACATCAAATGTCAGAGATTTTTTTAACATCATGATATCACTTGTGCACCCCCTCGCCACACACCTTCCTTCCACCCCTCTTTCCTCCTTCCCAATCTCAGTAACATTATTATTTATTTGTACCCCAGAGTATGCCCTCTTGCTAACCATTGCTGTGCAAACAGAAAAGAGGCCTGAACCTGTTCAATGAGAACTCTTAGCCTGTACCAGGGCTTTGTAGTGAATGGCTTGCTCTTCCAGGCTTATATAACTTCATGGTCATATAATACTTGTTAATAATTTTTTTACAGACAGGATCACACAATTGCAGACACCGTACTGATGGCTCCAAGAGAGGCTGAACCTGAAATTGTAAAAGTCACTGAGAAACATGTTACACAAGAAGCTTTCCAAGACTTGAAAGTCACCCCTGGGTATTACACGGTCATATCCGACAGAGGTGAATTCTACATTTCTCTTACACCTGCATAAACTAAAGTGAACATGTGCTTTGCTCATGCATGGCTACCAGCAGGCTCACTTTAATGGTAGCTATTATTCACCTCTCCTTCACTTCCCCATTGCTCCTTTGGGCTGTCGGGATTGAAGACCTTATACTGTAGCTAAACTCTGGGTTCAAATATTGTCTAAATGCAAGTCATGTGTATTCTTACTTGAATCTTGGTCTGCTGTGCGTATTTCTCCCAGATCTGTGCAGTAATCCAGTGTGAAACTTTGCCTCTGTGCAGGAGTTTCCTGTTATAAAGACTAGTCGCTACTGCTGTCTCTTCTTGTGCAAGGCGACTGGTCTTGTATCTGCCCCCTCCTGTAGATATCTGTAGGCTTCTTGTAGTAGGTGGGGCCTGCTGAGTCCCTCCCACAGCTCTGTTCTCTGCATAGACATATGTGCAGCATAGTGATGATCTCACTGCTACTTTTAAAAGGTGATAACTTGCTTTATAAGGCATTTGGTTCACTCAAAGTCAACGTATATCCTTTGTGGCTATGAAGTAATATATTGATATAAAGGTTTTTGAGCCCGGATTTCAGCTTTAAGCAGGGCTGACAGATACCCCCATGCACTGTCACATGGGAGGTAAGGAATTGAGTCATGAGCTGCTGGTGGGGGCCACCATTAAAGTGAATTTGTTGCTTTGTTCCTGCATGGGCAAAGCACAGGTTTACTCTTTGAGATCAGAGAATTTATGCTCACTGTTCGTCTTACCACTTTATATTTTTTGTTCTCCAGATGCCCATGGGCTGGTGGAATTTCAGGAGGGAGTGGAACTTGTGGATGTCCGTGTTCCCCTTTTCATCAGACCAGAAGATGATGATGAGAAGCAGTTATTAGTGGAGGCATTAGAGGTTCCCACAGGAATTGCTCATCTTGGAAGAAAAAATGTTAACATAACAATCATTAAGGAGCAAGGTGGGCGCAGTGACATCTTTCACACGGCATTACGTAATATTAACAAAACAATTTCATTTATGATGCAGATAATAAAATTTTCTAATAAATACATGTCTTTTATATACTGTATGTCATACAGTACATATAACATGTACAATATATAACAATATGATAATTCAATATAAGAATTGTTTTGACAAGAGCCAGAAATTAATCAGACAAATGGGTGAATTCATCATTTTCAACAAAAAGGAAGGACTGGTCCTGATAGCAAATGCAGAATTTAGCCAAAACATTATTTGTTGTATTTAAAAATAGTGTTTGAATAAAAGATTTTTTTAGGTGTATCTAAAGCCAATTTCTTTTTAGCTATGTAGTGTGGAAGCTTAAGAATCTCTTTCAAGTTTTTATTGCTGCCAGTGTCCCTGTCACCCTTTCTGTTTTAGTGTATATTCTTAGAGTACAATTACTTTATTTTGTGTTATTTTGTCTTATTTTTATGTATTTCTGTGATATGATGTCTCATACAGTGTCGCTATACATGTAAAATTACCTCTTAACGTAACTACTGTTAAAAAAAATACCATATTTAGAGGAACATACAATTTCTCATTGCGCATGATTCTAAACATACAAATCAATTAATTTAACTGTAACTTGGGTCACTTGGTTGAAAAAGCTATACTGCTGAAATACAGTATATGTGTATATATATCTATATCTATATATATATAGATATAGATATAGATATATATATATAAAACTGTGAACTTGATCTAGATGTAAAATTTGACAGCAGAGCTATGTATGGTATCTTCATAAACTCTCCTCCTTATATTACAGCTAAGAGTATAGTGACCTTTGTGAAGCCAGCATATACCTACAGCCGCCATGAGCAATTGGCACGTGTTCCTATTTCTCGGGAAATTCTGCAGAGTGGTAAATCACAGGTTTCCTACCGCTCAAAGGATCTGACAGCTCGTGAGGGCAAGGTAAAGGCTGCTCTCGATTTTAAATCTCTCTGTGTTGATCATGATGAATGGCTACATGCCTTATGATTTGAATACTGTAGATTGCTGCACTCAGTGCAGCAGAAACACCCCCCTACCTACCATATATAACGTTTGCTAATCCCTTCCAGCTGCAGTCCTTTTGTGTGCATGTGCGTTTGATTATTTTAGGGATACGTCCTATTAAGATTCTTTGCACAGCACTCCACAAAACAACCTCACATCGTAGGGTAGGCTTCATGTACACCAAACATGAGGGAAATATGGAGGCTGCCATTGCTTGCCTTTTTTTTGGGTGAGTGTTTATTGACTGGATATCCTTGGCTTCAGAAAGTCAGAATGTCTTATGCATATGTTTGCTTGGAATCAGTATTGAAACCAAAGCATTAGACTTGCACCCAAATAACCAACATTTTTAAAAGTTAGCAGCAGTAGCTAGCGTATTTTTCTTATAACAGGGTTCATTTTAAACTCTTTCTTCATGAGCTCTTAATTAATTATCAGGCTGGACTGTGTGATTGTGACACATGTGTCATAGGTTAAAAAATGGCCATTAAAGTCAACCCAAAAAAGTAAGACTTATATCTTCAGAAACCATAGATGATTTATATTATGTGAACAATTATGAAGTATGGCCCATTTTGGCTTTGTTGGGGGGAAAAGATCTTCCTGACCTTAACTGCAATGCAACAAATGCCAGGATCAATATTTTACTATGAATATTTCTAGCTTTAAGTAACCCTTATTTCCACAACTCTTACTGTGAAGAACCCTTTATTTACATAGAAATTAAACCTTTTTTTCTAACTGCAATGCTGTGATTGCATCTTCTGCAGTGACCTTAAACTAAATCACTTCTCAATACTTCTTGTATTTTCTATATAGGTCACCTATAGTTATTTGTTTGGTGATCATAATTATCTATTTCCGACACCTCTCCAAGCTAAAAACATTCAATTTAGTTAGTCCTCATAACAGATGTCTTCTAAGCCCCTTATACATTTAGATGCACTCTTCCCAGTTCTAAAAAAAAAAAAAAATTTTGGCAAACTGACACCCGGAGCTGAACTGCAAATTCCATAGACCACTCTTTCTTCAGTTAATGCCTTTTTAAAAGTATATGGCACATTCTAGAAGCTACAAATTGTCATTGGATGCTTTTTACTTCTATAATCTACATATACACATTTATGTTCTGGTCCAATTGTTTACAATATTTCTTAATAGTGTATGTGATAAAATACGGCTTTCAGTCTCCCTAATTTTTCTTAATGTAAATGTTTGTAATAAGGTCTGCATTGTTTAAGATGAAAGGTTTTTGAGATAAATGGAAGTGAACCTGTGTTTTACCCATGCAGGGCACAGCAACAGGTTTACTTTAATGCTAACCTCAACAGCACTAGAAGTCAAAAGGGTCTGCTGCATGCAAAGATCTAGTAAACATTTGAGTGCATATCAGTTTTACTTAGCAATGACCGCCAGGCCCTTGGCACTGTCCAGGCTTAATTAGTCTTTCTCCAGCTTGGCGATCTGCAGAGGACTTGTAACTCAAGATCTAAAAAATTTATTTTCCAAAAATAGTTTAAAAGTCCTCCTCAAGCCAGGAGTACATTGTACCTGAGACCTGGACAACGACATCTACCAGTGGCTACTCAGTCTGCTGTTTAGCATATGCTAATTTCCCCTATCAATAGTGATAGATCTTGCTGTTATCCACTACTGATCTACTAATACTACCAAAGTAATGGATTTGTTTGTTGAGATACACCACAAAATCTCTATAGGAAAACTTCAATAAAAGTGTTGCTCGATGTTTTAGGCATGTTATATGTAAAGAGAATAATTGATGCCTCCCAAATAAAAAATCATGTGGTATAAAGTCACACTGCTTATCCAGGCAAAAATGTCCATGTTTCAACCAAGTCTACCTGAATACTCCCCCCCACACACACATAAACACACAAAATAAAAGGTCTGCAGGCTAAGGTTGTCTATACAAAAAGTTGAAATGTTAATTCTGTGTGCATGGAAATACACTGGATCAACACATTAATGTCTCTGTGTCTCTTTCTTATTCTCTGTTTCAGGATTATGGATTCACAGAAGGTGACCTTGCATACCAAGGAAATGACACTCTCTCTGAGATCACGGTTCCTTTACTTGGCCGGTCAGAAGTGGACACTTTGTTGGGAAACCGCCAGGTCAAACAGTTTCTGCTTGAACTTAGCAATCCAAAGTATGGTGCCAAGATTGGCAAATACCCGCAGTGCACCATCACCATTGATGACACTCCAGGTGAGATGTTGTTTTGGCATGTTACAGTTTCAGCATAATATTATTATCAGTGCTGGCATGGGTCTAATACTATATTTTTTTGTTATACTGTAATTTCCTGTGTAATAAAATCACCTGAAAAGAAAAAGAATTACGGCTGACCTTAATGTTGGGGTTAGGGGTTAGAATCAGAGAAATTGAAATACATTACAGAGATTTTGAAGTACTCTTACAATCATTGTGATTGATGACTCGCACTTTTGCTGTCAACTAACTCCCATTAGAGAGAGAGAGAGAGAGAGAGAGAGAGAGAGAGAATTTGTTTTTCACCAGCCTTGCTTGGATAAGTTATATTAGCAAACATTGGGTCTTGTGTAAAAGGCATTGAATAATGTAAGCAATTAGATGGCTCTTAAAGACTATTACACATTAGAATACACATAGTAAATAACCCCTCTCATCTATGATATCCTTCTTACCTCTAATTGTACCAACAGAAGTTTTAGAGAAAGTAATGCCTGTGCAGTCCCTACAGTCTCCACGTGGCAAGATTGGTGCCCCCATCAACCTTAATGCCCAGGCGATCAGTGCTAGGAAAATCAGGTTTAACTGGACACCTCCATCTGGAAAAACATCTGGATACAAGGTAAGCAGCTCTGTCATCTATCCTTTGTGATGTGATAATGTTTCCTTTGCAATGCTTATTGAAGTGGCTCGTGTGAATTACAATTTCAATATTCCATGCTAAGTACTGCTGTTTTTATTGTTTATACTTTTTTTTTTATTGTTATTAAGTCTTTAAAGCAAAGCTGTTCTTTACTCACAAATGGCAAAGCAACACGTTTGCATTAATCCCTCCTTTCCCAGCAGTACATACTCATCTCCTCTTCACTCCCCCGCCAATCTGTGCAATGGGCGGAAGTGAACGAAATACCTGCTACTTCCAGGTATACCAGTTAGCAGCATACCAGTTACTCCCATCTGCTTGTTGCTGTCAAATGGGTATGGAGAGAGTCCTCAGCCCTGTGTAAACTCTCAGTGGAGCGACTTGGAGCTTACACTGTAATTCCTTTTCTTATTCCCTGTGGCTGAACAGTGTGGCAAGAAAGCCAGAGGAATGTGAGTATGTGCTTCTGGAGAGGGTAGTGTTAATGTGAACCTGTTGCTTTGCCTTGCATGTTCAAGCATTAAGGTATAGCTTAACCCAATTTCTACCAAATTATGATTTGGTAGGAATCCTTTAAGGCGATGAAAGGTCTTGTTGATTAATAGGAAGGCTTGGGAGGTGAGAGAGGGTGGGGGTCATACAGAAAAAGAATATGAGTTCACCCTCTAGAAAAAAAGAATCTATAAATTAATAATTGTGATCTTTGTCTAGGTTCGGCACTGGATTCAAGGAGACTCTGAGTCAGATGCTACTGTTATAGACACAAAGGTTCCTACAGCTGATCTGGTCAATCTGTACCCATACTGTGACTATGAGATGCGAGTGTGTGCCTACAATACACAGGAGGAAGGGCCTTATTCAGATGTTGTGACATGCCAGACCCTTGAGGATGGTGAGCAATGACCATTATTACTGTGTTTGAGTATTTACTGAAAATGGTATTTATGCCTTATGAGAAATGGTGAGGAATACTTCCTGGGAATAAGCTGATTCCCCATCCACTTTTTTTCTTCCACAGTTCCAAGTGAACCAGGCCGGCTAGCTTTCAATGTCATTTCCAGCACCGTGACACAGCTTAGCTGGGCAGAACCTGCGGAAACCAATGGCAATATTACAGCATACGAAGTTATCTACAGCATGGTCAATGAGGATAACAGTAAGTTTCTACCAGCAATTTACTTACCGACAGTCTTCTTTCTTTATTTGACACTCTTTATTTAGCTGTTTTACAACAACTTAGTAGGCAGGTGAAACACATTGTTGGTATTCAGCCTAGAGCTATGTTCAAAGATAAGGTTGTGATGGGAAGGCAGTTGATAGAGAATAAAGCAATTTGTCATGGGAGAAATTGTTGTACTCTGGAAGTAGGTAATAGTGGGTATAGGAATCTGTGTCCGTATTTACAGTATGAGCAAAAACATGATATGTAAGCTTCACACTGAAGCTTTTGTGTGACAGGCATTTGATACATACTGTACAGTTACATTGATAGCTTTTAAAAATCTTATTTTACCAGTTGACAGAAGGCTGGATCTCTGTATAGCCAACATAGGCCATGGCCTAGCGTGTCAGGGCTACAGGGGGGGTACAAAGCCACCCACACATGTTCCTAAATTTGAGTAATCCATAATCGTGTATAATAAAAGGTTCCAGACTGCTGTCCTGCTTTCCAGAACAAGCTTTCCAGGTTCTTATGAGTGCTGTCTCTGCACAGTTTATACATTTTTGTCAGTGGAATAGAACTTACAGTTCACTTCACCTACACTGGGTCTGCTAAGACCCAAAACTGTGTTTTTCAGCTACCACCACCTCATGATCTCCCCAAAGGCCCTCCTCTCCTCACACTAACCTTCATCCTAACCCTAATACTTATGTTCTCTTAGGACTAGATTATCTTTTGCACCAATGGCTATTAATTCCATGCTGAAAGATACCAGGGCTAAGGGCATTGGAAACTACAGATCACCTTAACTGAAGATCACCTTTAGTCTGTATATATTAATATTTTGTTTGTAATTGTGGCAGAACCCATTGGACCTTTGAAGAAAGTTTTGATCAATGATCCAAAGAAGCGAATGGTACTCATTGAGAATCTACGGGAGTCTCAGCCATACATGTACACTGTGAAAGCCTGTAATAGAGCTGGCTGGGGACCAGAGAGAGAAGCTACCATGAACCTCGCAACCCAACCAGCTCGTCCAATGTCCAGTGAGTAACATTTCACACTATCAATATCACACTGTAGAATACAAATGTTTAATAATACTGTAGCATTTCAAAGGTGAAAGCTACCACACATGACACTTAAAAGTACGAGTGGCTTCAAAGAAATGTATAGTGCTTTAGTACATTGTTTCTTTCTTTTTCATGGTCAATACAACAAATACCATTTTTAAAAATAGTTATTTTTTGTTAGCTTAAATATGAAATATTGCATATTAATATTGTGCATCTCCTTTTGACCCGGCAGGTGGTGTTTTAGCTTTGTATGCTTTACAGGCTTTATGTTTGCTTCGTTGATGTACAAAATCTGTTGCTTATTGAGGGCAAGTTGAAATTTACCAAACAAAGTAGATGTTTCATTGCATTTGCAGCCCATCTATAATCAGTCTAATGTTTCAGGTAGATAAAGCAGAGCCGCAAGACAGGCAGGAATTAAATCTTAAAAATACATTCAAGTACCCTATCTATTAACAGTAATGTACTTTATTTGTGTACCACTTGGCTGTAGATCCTCAAATCATCTCTGCATTGGTGCTGACACCGTCCTTCCTTTTGGAGGGTGGCTACTTTTGATTCACATGGTCCCTGTGTGTGTTGTAAAGCTGTAGATTTGACCACAACTCTCTGTGTGAAAGCAGCAGTCTTTTAGCCGCAGTCCCACACGCTCCCCCTCTGAATCACAGCTTAAGCTAGCCAATTAGAAGCATCAGATCAAGTGATGTTACTTTTACTGATCAAAATAAACATCACATTTATTGACGTATTGATGAATAAAGAACTGCTAGCATTAATTGTAAAAAAAAATAAAAATCATCGTATACAAAATTGACCGAAAAAAATGATAGTTTCCTTTTAATCATTTGGTGCTGCATTACTGATTAGTTGAGAATAGTGTGTTAATTGCTTTTGTAATATCTCTCATTGCTGTTACTTGCAGTTCCTATTATCCCGGATATTCCTATTATTGATGCCGAGGGAGGGGAAGATTATGACAGCTATCTCATGTACAGTACAGATGTGCTGCGATCGCCCGTGGGAAGCAAGAGACCCAGTGTGTCAGATGAATCAGGTAAGTGGATCCATCTACAAAGACATATAGCATAGTATAAAGGGTAGATATTTAGAACAGTCCAGACCTGTTAGCTGCTAATGTTGTCTCTTTAGGATCACTTCACAAAGGTTTTTTTGTTACATAGTGCAGTCACAGTCTGCCGGCTGTTAGCAACACACTGCCAATTCAGCTTACAATTTATATTTCCTACCCAACCCTTTTCCCTAAATGTATGGCCCACATCTAAGTCACCCCTGTCCCTTGAAGGCCGGCGCTGGAAGTACGTCCCCCTCCTGGGCTCAGAACTTGATCTACGTCACATCACATGGAAGCTCCCTGTAGAGGTCATCCCACGACTGTCTGTCAGCAGTGCTATGTCCACAGACACAGAGAGTCTCCAGGACCAAGTGGACAGTGGCAGTTCCTTGGTGAGGAGAGGGACCATGCGTGCACCAACAGCAACAGCAGAAGATAACGCCAAGATGGTGGGGGTGTCAGGTATTGTATGTTTTCCTCCCTTCCCTCAACCCCCTCCCATCAGTGTAAAGTGCTAACAGCCTGCATGATTGTCTTGTCTGCACTTGTAATCAGTATGGTGACTTAATTCATGGATAGTGGGACTATCAACTGAACTTCTGTTCTGGAAATACGTTTCTGCTTATGCTAATGTAGATTGCATACACATATACACCATACATGGCCAAAAGTATGTGGGCACCTGACCATCATACCTTACTATTTGAATAGAAGTATGTACATACCCCTCCAAAACTGTTGAGTCGAGTAGATTCCAGTGAAGTCTACTGTTAATGGTACCAAATACAAAGACATTTTAGACAACTGTGCACTTCCAAACTGTTTAAGGAAGGTCCTTTTCTGTTCCCGCATTATTGTGTCCCTGTGCACAAAGATAAGTCCATAAAGACATGGTTTAAAGTATTTGGTGTGGGGGAGCTCAAGTGGCCTGCATAGACCACTAACTTCAACTCTTCTGAACACATTTTTTGATAAAGCCAATTGCAAGCTTGGTCTTCTCCTTTATATCAGTATCTGATTTCAAAAAGGCCCTTTTGGCTGAAATAGCCACACATTTCTAAAGACACGCTCCAAATCTTTTTAAAAGCCTTCCTACAAGAGTGGAGGATGTAGGGATAGGGGGCAACTCCATTTGGAATTTGATGTCCAACAAGCTCCTAGCGTTGAGGTGATCAGGTTAGGTGCCCATATACTTTTGGCCATATAGTGTATATTGTTTATATACTGTACATATATATACACATTTCAGCTTATACTGCACGAAGAAAATATATGATGCAGCTTTTCTGCCTCACATGGACAAGAAAGTTATGAAAAAGCAAACATTATAAGAAAAAATGTTTCTATTTCAAATATGATTAATTCACACAACATCAACAGAACAGTGTCAATAAGATAAAGGCAGAAGGACTTAACATTCATGCGGCCCCAAATATTGTACAGATCTGGGCATTTTTGTCATGCAGTATAATAATCCATTGCTTTAAATATGGTGAATGATCATGTCTTTTTCCTGCCAGGATATTGTTTATAGCATTATTTAATACACACAGCTATATTCAAAAAAAGATTGCAAGAGCAAAGTGTTAAGCAAAAAGTTCAGTAACTCAAATCAAGCAATCAAAATTTACTGTACTAAAGCCAGACCAGTACAACATTGATTATGATTGGTTGCTCTGATTACTGTACTTTGCTCTTAGCCTGCATTTGCACTGTTTATACAATATAATATGTGTATAATTTAGTGATATCCTTTTTATAAAATGAGAGGTGGGTTGACCAGTGCATTCTAAATGAGATTCAATTCATGGGTCATTGTATGTAACTGTTCCATGTCGACAGCACACATGTACAAAACCCCTCACTGCTGTGTTGGCTTTCCTTTTGTCACATGTGACTCCTGGTCACCAAAAATTCTATTACTGAAAATAATATAAATAAAAGATTGAGCAATGGCACTATATGAAGAGTGCTGATCGACTTGAGATTTCCATGTCATTCTAACCATCAAACTGATAACTGTCATGCCACATGTTTGACATCCCAAGCAATTATTAACGCACATAGGCATTATTTTAGTATGCATTACCCTAAACTATTCTAAATAACACTAAAGTAGAATTAAATAAAGCTTCTACAATGCACTGTGAGTGATGCAAATCTGTGAGAAGGCTGCGCACACAAGTTTTTACTTGAAACACAAGTATAATAAAAGTTTTAAGTAAACATTTTATATTCTACTTTTGTTATTTACGGTATTCCCAGGAATTGTTCTCTTTTTACAACCCTGGGACTGGTCATGTGACTATAGACGAGAATTCCCTCTCCACACGTAGCACTCAGAAAGTACCTGTTTCAACAGAACAGCAGGAGGACATACTATGCAATAAAAAAAAAAAAATTCTAAGCATGTCCCTAGTTCCCAAATGTACCCAGGCAGTGAAGAAATGATTCATCATAGGAGTGTGCACAGATTATCTGGGAGTAACTAAGCAACAATCGATCCAACCTTTAGGCTGGGTTCAAACCTTTGCATTTTCATGCTATTTTACATGTGTTATCAATGTGCATTCATGCGTGTTTTCATGTGCTGCCATTGTCATCAAAAGGCCCTATGACATGCACTGCTGCATCAAATAAGACAACACACTTCAACACATTGCACAGATGTGAACTACCACCCTTTAAAGCAATGGACAGCCTGTGTACATGCAATGATCTGTGTTAAAACCATAGGTGTGGCTGAGTCCTAGGTCTTAATTATCAAAATCCTTCTCTGTTATTTTAGAACAACTCCTAAATGGGCGCATGGACTTTTCTTTCCCTGGATCTGTAAACAGTCTGACTCGCACAGGAACTGTCGGCTACCAACAATTCAGCCCTAGCGTGCACAATGAAACATACAGGTTTGGCAGTACCAGTTCTCAGCACAACACTCTCATTTCAGGACATGGTAAGTAATGTGCCATGCACCAGAGCCTATGGTTTCCCTTTTTTTTTCTTCTTCTTTCACTTGCACACTATCTTCAGCCATTCTACTCTCTGGTGCAAACTGTATACTGTAAAAGGTTTATTTATAAAAAAAAAAAAATTCAGAGCAATTTGCTGCGTATGCATTCACTCTGTGCCAAAGGATACAAATACAAATGTTATTAGCATTTTCTTTAAGTCGATTGTAATATTGGGAAAATACTGCATTATGGTAATTAGATAGAGCTGATAGATGATAGAAAGTTAATACTTAAAGTGACACAAAACTGAGGAATTAAATCTTAAAAGTGCATTCAAGTACCCTAAATATTAACACAAATGTAGCTTATTTGTGCATCACTCAGTTGTAGAGCCTCAAATCATTTCTGAATTTGTGCTGACACTGTCCTTTCTTCCGGAGGGGGGCTGTTGTACTGTAGCCACAAGTAAATGCCTAGTATTGTCACTGATACTGATACCGGTATCGGTGCATCCCTATTTACAAGGACTCTTTTGTTGAGATATTTTTGTTTGATTTCCTACCTCTGTACACCTGCTGTAAATATTATGTGCGGGTCCCACTCTCCCTGTTAAATATTTTGTTTACTTTATTTTATGAAGCAATTTGGGGAAATGGGGGTGCTGGAATAAGAAGAGCCAAAAGTCCAAGAGGATAGGAATTATGGCAGGGAGGGAGTTGTCATTGCTGGGGTATCCAAGATATATAGAAAGCCAGGAACTGACTTGACACACTTAAAATTAAATTATCACTTTTGAATGTACTGACTGTAAGAATAGGATTTTGTTCTTAACATATAATTATTTTCTCAGAGTCCATTGAGGGACACAGATCTGAAGAGTTCTGACATGTACAAGGACACAAGGCAAAAAAATTAAAGCCTGTCACTTTAAGGCAATAACCCCTTCCACCTCACACCTGCCAGTTGTAGTAAGCAATATAAAAGGAAATGAGGGGAGGGAGCTGTGTCCCCCAGTGGACTCCGAGAAAACGTTTTCTTAAGTAAGAACAAAATCCTATTTTCTCTATCGTCAGTTGAGGGGCACATCTCTAGGACATTCAAAAGCAGTCCAAAACAGAGGAACGGGCATAGAAAACATATAAAAAAAACAGCCTCCCCACCCAAAAAAAAGAATAAACAAGGGAGTTAAATAGCAGCTTGAAGAACCTTTCTGCCAAAACTAACATCACAAGAGGCAGATACATCAATTTTATAAAACCTTGCAAAATTGTGAACAGAAGACCAGGTTGTGTCCATTTTCCAAATGGATCCCAACCAGAAAATCTGAGAGAAGGGGGGTCCAATGAGACAACATCAGACGAATTGCCCACAACACCAGGATGTTGATAGGTAGCTTGGATTTCTCCTGAAACCAGCAACCCTGAACTGAACACATGATCCAGAACTCCTCCACAACCCAAATGGAACTGCTTCAAAGGTGGACACCATTAGGTCCAGAACTCCCATGCATCATCGCAGGGAGGATTGTAGATGAGAACAAAACAGGCAAATTTGACTCTGCAACTTAGTTGAATTTTCCTGGGGAACAAAAACCGTGGCCAGGGATGCATCGAAAAGAATACCCAAGTATTCCTGGCAATGCAATGGAATCAGGGACGATTTCTCGATGTTCAAAATCCATCCAAAGTCCTGTAAGGTTCTTAGTACTGTGGACACATCGGTTTCCAAAGTCAGAGAAGACTGTTTGCGAAACCAAAGATCTATGTATCTAATAATCTGAATGCCCTTTTGGCAAAGAAGACCCAGAATCAGAGTGAAAACCCTTGGAGCAGAGGCCAGACCAAAGGGAAGGGCCACAAATTGATAATGGAGTTGGCCTACGGCAAAGCAAAGGAAACATTCCTGACCCAGGAAGATGTGCTTGATGTCCTCTATGTCATTTGAAACCAAGAAAGCAAGACAAAGGGAGGCAACTGAACAAACAGATTCCATTCAACCTCTTTAGTTTGAACATAAGTGTTGAGAGCTTTTAATTCCAGGATGGGACAAAACTTCTTTTAGGCTTTGGAACAGTAAATTGGTTTGAGTAAAAACCCAATAAACGTTCTGTTACTGGGACTAGAACTATATAAATTCCTGATCTAACAATCCCTGGACTGCTGAAAGGCCTGCCCAACACTGCAGAGGAATAGGAAGGCGAAAGACCTGGAAGAGGAAGAAAAGGTAAAATTTTATTTTGTAACTGTAAACCACCTTCTGAGCCAAGCATATGATATGCTTGCTTCCCACATCTCCACAAAGGCCATCAGACATCTACCCACCCGAAGAACAGGGGTTGACTGACCTTCATACTGAAGCTGACTTATCTGTGGGTTTAGAGTTCTTGGACTGCCAGGAGAGTCTGAAAGAATAAGCTTTCATTTTTTGCCTAGTTTCCATGTCTCCTGAAGGCAGCAGCAAAAACCTTACATCTCAGAATTCTTCAGAGCTGTGTTCCTCAATAGACGATAGAGAAAACAAATTACTGGTTCTTTTCAAATCTCCTTAGGAATGACTAAATGTATATTTCTAGTCCTATACATATGAATTTTGAATCTTAATTTTTACTTGCACTGTCATAACTCTTACGCTACACCCTTCTGTCACTTTTCTTGTTCTACTGTTTCTGGGTATCTTATATCCTTCTCACAGTTTTCTTTTCAATACCCTTTATGCAGAGCGGGTTGGTGGAGGGTCCCTGCCTCTCTTTAAGGAGAAACGTGGTAGACACTTTGTTGGGGCAAAGGTGAAGGGTTACCATGCATACCGGGACACAATAACCATGGCTGACAGTCGCAGAGGGCCACATATGGTGATAGGTACCATGGAAACATATCACCCTCATGCTGATTGGTCATTGCTTTCCATGGATGCTTAATCCCATCGTCATTGTTCAACCCTGATCAGTCACATTCAACCAACCTGGTAAAGACTGTGTTGCTTTACGTAGTAATACCACATGATGACCAACATAGAAATACTGTAGCAACTCTGTAGGCCCACTTAAATGACTCTACCTTATAGAATGTAGTTGTGAATGTTTTTTTTATTTTATTTTGCACCAAACAGTTTTTCTCATTTTGGAACAATATGTGCATATATCCACCAGTGACATATATGTAAACAGTATATTCTTGAGGTTGCCTCTTGCTGAAAGCAACGTCTCTTCTTATTTGCTCCTATAACACTGCTGTATAACCATTTCTGGCATACATAGAATTCAGGTTCCAAAAGGTCTTTTGGGCTGGAACCTGATGTTTCATTATAGAAGACCCAGCCTACAGTATAGTGTGTGCTAAGTAGTGGGTAAGTGTAACCATTGCAGATTTTTACTACTTTTTACACAGATCACAGTACTCCCCCTAACAATACCTTTATCTTTCACAACCACCCCCTCCCACCCTTCCCAGAAGGCCAGCACTATCTTTGTTTAGGCATTATCAATGGCCAACAACCTTTTCCTGGACTAAGATGAGGGCCTGTACATGACACTGTCACGTAAATCCTGGTGCCTGTACAGTAGTGTTTTTGCTCTTGGCTGTGTGTATATAGGTTTTACAGCTTATCCCAGTGAGGGTAGAAAGAAAATACTTCCTTCTAGTTGTAGCACACACATCTTGTAATTCTTTTATATTCTATCATTCATCTTTACAGAGTAGCAACATTTCACGGGCTGCAGGAAGGAATAGTATATCGTACTTTTATACAAGCAGCCATACAAAATTAAAAAATTGCCAGCTCTTCTAAAATTGTTAGCAATGTTTGGCATATTTAAATGTCAATCAAGTGTTCAACAAAATGTTTTTGTTTTGTGATGTGACAGTTGTGTGAGTTTCATTAATTGAAAAAAGGCAGAACAGGGGCCACAAGGTTTTTAGCAGCTTACTGGAAAGGGTTATCTGTACATAGCAATGAAGTAAATTTATACCAAGGTATAGCAAAGAAAACATATAATGTATGTGTATAGCTAAAAGAAGTCACACTGAGTATTACAAAACTGCAACACAGTCTTCAGGTTTTGTTGGGCGCATTGCATGATTGCTTTCACTTATACATTGTCAGATTGGTCTGCTGTACATTTATAATGAATACCCTAGTGTTTGTGCACTATACCACAGTCCTCTCTGATAGTGAATGAGTTAACATGGCTGCTGGCTAAATAATGCCCCATGCTCATGCTCATCTGAAACCCCTCGATTCAAAGCCAGAGAGACCATTTTCTGCTGGTGTCTCTGGGCCAGGAGGGGTTAATTTTGCACTGCTGTAACCACCTATACTCCAACTTGGACTTTGCCATGCATGTGGGTCCAGTGCCTGCTTGCACTGTGAAAGGTATATGTCTTGTCAAGCCTGAAGCTCATTCAAAATGCCAAGACCGACGTTGATGGCTACTAAAGAGTACCTGTGGAAGCTGAGCAGCTAATAGACACACATTAGTGTGGAGATGGAGGACTCTGCTTCTCAAAGGCTCTAAATAAGTGCGGTGCCACTGTGCTTGGTTGGGCAGTGAGCTTGTATTCGCTCCTCCAAAGAGATGTATATGAAGTTTGTGGCTTAAAATGCAAACCTGTTAGTATCTTTTATGTAGAATCTGTTAATGACACTGTCAATGGCACTCTGACTGTTCAGGGACATCAGGACAAAGCAGACTGGGACTCCCTCCACTTATGATGGGGACTGGAAGAGGGCGCACCCATTCAGAGGATGTGCGGGATGCTCTCAGCAGTTTGGATGTGGCCATACAGGGTGAGTGTTTTTTTCTTCCACTACAGGTAAAATGAATGTCTATCGCACCTACCTCTTACATTACCAGTTTGTAATGGTCATTTTCTCATTTCCTTCTAGAATCTCGCCCCTCTCCTGGAATCCCAGACACGCCAACCCGCTTGGTGTTCTCTGCATTGGGACCGACATCCTTAAAGGTCAGCTGGCAGGAACCACTGTGTGAACGAGAAGTTCTGGGGTACAAGGTGCACTATCAGCTGCTCCATGGAGGTACGTAATCCTAAACTTAGAATGACTCATTCACTAACTTGAGGAGTGAAGTGAGGTGAACTTAAACCTGATTTACGAAATTGGAAATGATGTGAAATGAAAGCTTCTTCATCATATGAATGTTTGAATCTAATAAGCATTGTTTTTTTCATATTGCCCTGCATGTGACTGGATATTAAAAGTGATCACAAGTTCACTTCATCTCATTTAACACCTCATCTGCTTCACTTCACATTATAGTAAATATGACAAAATGAAAAAAGTGAGAAGATGTCTGTGTACATAAATTCCTCTGATAATCAAACAGATGTCACCTTCAAGCATATTGCAAAGTAGATCTGGTGACACTTGTCAGATAGAATGGCTTTTGTCATAGATATTGCTTTACTTTGATTTGGTATCCAGGTCTAAATCATATAGTGGCATATATTGCTTTGTTTGTCTGCTATGGGTGCCTCGTGAATTCTGTTTACCTTGTAATATCTGTTTGTGCATGTGTCTCTTATCAAATTCCAATAGTATAAGTTGACTTTCTCTTATGAGGAGGGCACAGACAGACATTGTACATCTCTGGCTAAGTACATCTCTGCTTAAGTACAGGACACTTAAAAAAACATCACTTAAAATAAAGGCACTCAAAAAAAAAGCATCAGCAACAATTTCTCATAAGGGCTGCAAGTAAATATTTCTCCTTCAACCTGAATTTCTTTCTCCTAGTCTGCTTCTAATTCCCTCTTCCCTCTACCATGCCTTGTCTTCCTATCCTTATAATAGTATCCTCTATCCTTAAAGTGACACTACACTCAGGAGTTAAATCTTAAAAATGCATTCAAGTATCTTCACTATTATCAGAAATGTATCTTATTTGTGTATTACTTGGGTGTAGATCCTCAAATCATCTCTGAATTCATGCTGACACTGTCCTTCCTTCTGGAGGGGGGTTACTTTTGTTCCCCATGGTCCCTGTGTGTGTTGTAAAGTAGCTCCAAGCCCATGATGGACTACAATCTCACATTTAGTTTACTTATTTATATTAAATTTATAGTCCATCAAATCAGATATATGTGTAATATAGATCAGCCATATGTATAATACAGATCAGATAGATGTGTAATACAGATCAGATATACTATAGTACATACAGGTGAAACTCGAATAATTAGAATATCGTGCAAAGTTCATTTATTTCACTAATGCAACTTAAAAGGTGAAACTAATATATGAGATAGACTCATTACATGCAAAGCAAGATAGTTCAAGCCGTGATTTGTCATAATTGTGATGATTATGGCTTACAGCTCATGAAAACCCCAAGAACCCCAAATCCACAACCTCAAAAAAGTAGATTATTACATGCAATCAATAAAACAAGGATTGTACATAGAACAATATCGGACCTCTGAAAAGTACAAGCATGCATATGTACTCAGTACTTGGTTTGGGCCCCTTTTGCAGCACTTACTGCAATTACTTTTGCACGATATTCTAATTATTCGAGTTTCACCTGTATGTAATATAAGATCAGATAGATGTATAATACAGATCAGATATACTGCATAAGTAATCAGATAGATGTATAATACAGATTAGATATACTGCATAAGTAATCAGATAGATGTATAATACAGATCAGATATACTACATATGTAATATAAGATCAGATATATGTGTAATGCAGAAGAGATATACTGCATAAATAATATGCAGATATACTGATCAGATATATGTATAATATAGATCAGATATATGTATAATACAGTTTAGATATACTGCATATGTGATATAAGATCAGATATAAGTGAAGCCTTCTCTTGTTTACAGGAGATTCACGCACCATCGACATCCCAAATCCCAGAGAAAACTCTGTGGTGGTGGAAGATTTGCTCCCCAACCATTCCTATATGTTCCGGGTAAGGGCACAAAGTGAGGAAGGCTGGGGACTGGAACGAGAAGGTGTCATCACTATAGAGTCACAGGTGGACCCCCACAGTCCACTCAGCCCTGTACCAGGTACACATAAGCATTTGTTGACTTTCATTTTGGTTTAGTAGTTACAGTATGATTATTCCATAGATCAGGTATTTTACAATAAGGGTATGCACAGGTGAAATTACACAGTCAGCCAGCAATAGAAAAATAATTAGTAATCTGACAACCAAACAGAAGCCCCAGTGCTATGATAAAGTCATTTAATATAGTGTGCTCAGAAAGTGACATTCACACAATCCAGTGAATATTTTCTTCTCTTGGTTGTGCTTTGTGGTATAAATTAATTGGGGGAATTTATCAAAACTAAAGCAGACAGAATCTGGAGCAGCTGCCCTTAGAAACCAATCAGCTTCTCTCTTCTGAAATGTGTTCAGTTAAGCTTTGACATAGACAGATAAAAGCTGATTGGTAGCCATGCTCAGCTGCTCCATTTTTTATAAATTCCGCTCATTGTGCTTTAACTTTTCATGATAAGTTTACTCATCCGTGTAGGTGCGGGTCAGCATGTAGCCACAGGCAGCCGCGTCCTCCTATAGGGATGTACAAGTGGCTGTGCACAATTACACGCAGCACCTGTCCCTCCTGGGAGCAAGTCTCTGCTCGGGCATGCATGCTATACAGATGTGCTGTGTGTGTTATTAGTAATGGCAGCTGCCTTACTTCCTTACTAGAGGTTGTAAATCCAGCCAAAATTTTTTTTCCTGAACATTTACTTTGAGAGAGAGAAAGTCATTTAGTGAAGAGCTCCCTCTAGTGGCAAATTTATATATGACTATTTTTAATACAATCTTAGTTACTAGATAGTGAAATTAAAGGAGAACTATGAGGTGAGTGCTTTTCACTCACCTTATAGTTCTAGCCGACCTGTGACAATGAGACTGTCACAGGTCGGCTCAGTAGATCGGGAGGTGAACGAACACATACCGGGTTCGCTCACCTCTCGATCCTGTCACGGCTCTCTGCCGTGACAGGGGGAGGGGCTGGATTCCCCTCTCCCCGCTCCGATCTGCCAGCGCTGACTGGCGGAATGTAATATAAGATCAGATATATGTGTAATATAGATCAGCCATATGTATAATACAGATCAGATAGATGTGTAATACAGATCAGATATACTGCATCTGTAATATAAGATCAGATATATGTGTAATATAGATCAGCCATATGTATAATACAGATCAGATAGATGTGTAATACAGATCAGATATACTGCATCTGTAATATAAGATCAGATATATGTGTAATATAGATCAGCCATATGTATAATACAGATCAGATAGATGTGTAATACAGATCAGATATACTGCATCTGTAATATAAGATCAGATATATGTGTAATATAGATCAGCCATATGTATAATACAGATCAGATAGATGTGTAATACAGATCAGATATACTGCATCTGTAATATAAGATCAGATATATGTGTAATATAGATCAGCCATATGTATAATACAGATCAGATAGATGTGTAATACAGATCAGATATACTGCATCTGTAATATAAGATCAGATATATGTGTAATATAGATCAGCCATATGTATAATACAGATCAGATAGATGTGTAATACAGATCAGATATACTGCATCTGTAATATAAGATCAGATATATGTGTAATATAGATCAGCCATATGTATAATACAGATCAGATAGATGTGTAATACAGATCAGATATACTGCATCTGTAATATAAGATCAGATATATGTGTAATATAGATCAGCCATATGTATAATACAGATCAGATAGATGTGTAATACAGATCAGATATACTGCATCTGTAATATAAGATCAGATATATGTGTAATATAGATCAGCCATATGTATAATACAGATCAGATAGATGTGTAATACAGATCAGATATACTGCATCTGTAATATAAGATCAGATATATGTGTAATATAGATCAGCCATATGTATAATACAGATCAGATAGATGTGTAATACAGATCAGATATACTGCATCTGTAATATAAGATCAGATATATGTGTAATATAGATCAGCCATATGTATAATACAGATCAGATAGATGTGTAATACAGATCAGATATACTGCATCTGTAATATAAGATCAGATATATGTGTAATATAGATCAGCCATATGTATAATACAGATCAGATAGATGTGTAATACAGATCAGATATACTGCATCTGTAATATAAGATCAGATATATGTGTAATATAGATCAGCCATATGTATAATACAGATCAGATAGATGTGTAATACAGATCAGATATACTGCATCTGTAATATAAGATCAGATATATGTGTAATATAGATCAGCCATATGTATAATACAGATCAGATAGATGTGTAATACAGATCAGATATACTGCATCTGTAATATAAGATCAGATATATGTGTAATATAGATCAGCCATATGTATAATACAGATCAGATAGATGTGTAATACAGATCAGATATACTGCATCTGTAATATAAGATCAGATATATGTGTAATATAGATCAGCCATATGTATAATACAGATCAGATAGATGTGTAATACAGATCAGATATACTGCATCTGTAATATAAGATCAGATATATGTGTAATATAGATCAGCCATATGTATAATACAGATCAGATAGATGTGTAATACAGATCAGATATACTGCATCTGTAATATAAGATCAGATATATGTGTAATATAGATCAGCCATATGTATAATACAGATCAGATAGATGTGTAATACAGATCAGATATACTATAGTACATACAGGTGAAACTCGAATAATTAGAATATCGTGCAAAGTTCATTTATTTCACTAATGCAACTTAAAAGGTGAAACTAATATATGAGATAGACTCATTACATGCAAAGCAAGATAGTTCAAGCCGTGATTTATCATAATTGTGATGATTATGGCTTACAGCTCATGAAAACCCCAAGAACCCCAAATCCACAACCTCAAAAAAGTAGATTATTACATGCAATCAATAAAACAAGGATTGTACATAGAACAATATCGGACCTCTGAAAAGTACAAGCATGCATATGTACTCAGTACTTGGTTTGGGCCCCTTTTGCAGCACTTACTGCAATTACTTTTGCACGATATTCTAATTATTCGAGTTTCACCTGTATGTAATATAAGATCAGATAGATGTATAATACAGATCAGATATACTGCATAAGTAATCAGATAGATGTATAATACAGATCAGATATACTGCATAAGTAATCAGATAGATGTATAATACAGATTAGATATACTGCATAAGTAATCAGATAGATGTATAATACAGATCAGATATACTGCATAAGTAATCAGATAGATGTATAATACAGATCAGATATACTACATATGTAATATAAGATCAGATATATGTGTAATGCAGAAGAGATATACTGCATAAATAATATGCAGATATACTGATCAGATATATGTATAATATAGATCAGATATATGTATAATACAGTTTAGATATACTGCATATGTGATATAAGATCAGATATAAGTGAAGCCTTCTCTTGTTTACAGGAGATTCACGCACCATCGACATCCCAAATCCCAGAGAAAACTCTGTGGTGGTGGAAGATTTGCTCCCCAACCATTCCTATATGTTCCGGGTAAGGGCACAAAGTGAGGAAGGCTGGGGACTGGAACGAGAAGGTGTCATCACTATAGAGTCACAGGTGGACCCCCACAGTCCACTCAGCCCTGTACCAGGTACACATAAGCATTTGTTGACTTTCATTTTGGTTTAGTAGTTACAGTATGATTATTCCATAGATCAGGTATTTTACAATAAGGGTATGCACAGGTGAAATTACACAGTCAGCCAGCAATAGAAAAATAATTAGTAATCTGACAACCAAACAGAAGCCCCAGTGCTATGATAAAGTCATTTAATATAGTGTGCTCAGAAAGTGACATTCACACAATCCAGTGAATATTTTCTTCTCTTGGTTGTGCTTTGTGGTATAAATTAATTGGGGGAATTTATCAAAACTAAAGCAGACAGAATCTGGAGCAGCTGCCCTTAGAAACCAATCAGCTTCTCTCTTCTGAAATGTGTTCAGTTAAGCTTTGACATAGACAGATAAAAGCTGATTGGTAGCCATGCTCAGCTGCTCCATTTTTTATAAATTCCGCTCATTGTGCTTTAACTTTTCATGATAAGTTTACTCATCCGTGTAGGTGCGGGTCAGCATGTAGCCACAGGCAGCCGCGTCCTCCTATAGGGATGTACAAGTGGCTGTGCACAATTACACGCAGCACCTGTCCCTCCTGGGAGCAAGTCTCTGCTCGGGCATGCATGCTATACAGATGTGCTGTGTGTGTTATTAGTAATGGCAGCTGCCTTACTTCCTTACTAGAGGTTGTAAATCCAGCCAAAATTTTTTTTCCTGAACATTTACTTTGAGAGAGAGAAAGTCATTTAGTGAAGAGCTCCCTCTAGTGGCAAATTTATATATGACTATTTTTAATACAATCTTAGTTACTAGATAGTGAAATTAAAGGAGAACTATGAGGTGAGTGCTTTTCACTCACCTTATAGTTCTAGCCGACCTGTGACAATGAGACTGTCACAGGTCGGCTCAGTAGATCGGGAGGTGAACGAACACATACCGGGTTCGCTCACCTCTCGATCCTGTCACGGCTCTCTGCCGTGACAGGGGGAGGGGCTGGATTCCCCTCTCCCCGCTCCGATCTGCCAGCGCTGACTGGCGGAACTGACGGTGGAGGGGGCGGGTACAGCTGGCTCTGCCTCTAGATAGGCAGAGCCAGCTGTCACTCACGCAGCTGGGCGGATCCCGTCATCTAAGTCGGGATCCGCTCCGGCTGCGGCGTCTCAGTATACCGCGAGCTGTAGCTCACGGTATACTGAGCTTAGGGTAACGGGAGGACGCTAGTTTGTGTCCTCCCGTTACCCTAAGGAGAACTATGGGGGAAAACACTGACCCCATAGTTCTACTTTAAGAGGTGGGTCAGGGTGCCACATCTACTAATAGTACACTAATCAAAAATTAGAATACAATAAAATAAAAACTTGAAAGAGCAGCTTTTAAACAATGTAAAAGCCATTATTTTTCTATTTCTAGGCTTTTTTCCATCTATTTTTGCCAGGTAATTTGATAGTAACACATCCTGTCCAAAAGCGACAACACTTACTATATTGTATCTCTGGAGGAGCAGCATTGTCACCCTGGGACAGGGCTACAGACGGTGCCTGCCTCTCCTCTTTACTATAACATAGGGTGGAGGTGTTCTGTAGTATCTCAGAGATAGGAGAAAGCATTGCTAACTGATACAGTCAATACAGGCAGAGTGTACAAAAAGCTATCAGCTCACAAGATTTCTGTCAGGATCAACAGGTATCTTTTTTGCACTTTCAATGGTATATTTAACAGGTCAAAAGGGAGAAAGTAAGAGAAATGGATTGTTAGTGTTCACACACGTGTGCTAATTTATACTTGTCCTTGGCAGGGTCACCCTTCACACTGAGCACTCCTAGTGCCCCGGGACCCCTTGTCTTCACTGCTCTTACCCCAGATTCACTGCAGCTAAGCTGGGTGAGACCAAGGAAACCTAATGGCACCATCCTGGGTTACATGGTTACCTGTGAAATGCTGCACGGTGGAGGTGAGTGCTTGCTTCATATATCATTTCAGAATACTTAAGTACTTTCATCACATGGTCTAAGTATACTCCCCTTGTTGATCCTAGGAGAGCCACGGAATATATACGTGGAAGGTGATATGCCTGAGACTACGCTGACCGTTCCCTTCCTGAATGAAAATCTTCCCTACAAGTTCAAAGTGCAAGCCAAAACAACGCAAGGCTTTGGGCCTGAGAGAGAAGGCATCATTACTATAGAGTCACAGGATGGAGGTGAGGGATGGAAAAGTAGCTTCATGCTTGATAAATATTCTATGGAATACGGTTATATTCTCACAAAGGGAAATATACATCCATTAACATGTCTTTAACACAATTGCCATTGCAAATGCCCTTCTGAAGGTACTGGTTGCCTGGCTAGTACACTGACCAACTAAGTTGAGTAATGTCGGAGTCTCTCTGGGACAATTATGCATATCTGTGAAGTGACTCATCCTCATTAGCCTATTTGTTCCAGGTAAGGGACACAAAGTATTGAAGGGTAAACATGACAGCCAGCAAACCAGCATTTGCAGAATGAGATTTAGCAATGGCAGTATCCATGTTTCTCATTACATGAACTACCGGCATCTACTATGAAAATATTATTTCCTTCCTAACAGCAATCAGAAGATTACTAAAGTAAGATCACCGAAAGATGATCTGTGATTGGTTGCTGTGGTTATTACTCCTTGTGCTTATTGTATATAGTGTTTTTTTGGTTTTCACAGTACAAGTGTACATAGGGTGGTGTGAGCTGCCATCTAGTGGTGAAAATGGATATTCATTGTTTGATAAAGCTTTCATATCTTTGGTATATCAATGTAGAACATTGAATTCAGAAATGTTTCTCTCTCGTCCATTGGGGGAAAGAGCTCTGAGCAATGGTTGGTCTCCGGAAGAATCCAGGCTTCCAATCAAAATCTTTGAGTTGAGGGCAATTCGTGCCGCCGTTGTTTCACTGAACCCGTCTTCTGTCGGGGTGTCTGGTTTGAATGCAGTCAGATAATGCAACAGAGGTGGCATACATCAATCACCAAGGAGGCACCAGGACTGTGTCTGTGGTGAAGGAGGTTCAATCTATCCCAACTTGAGCAGAACTTCAGGTTCCAGCGATTACAGCTGTTCACATCCCAGGAGTCAAAAGCTGGCAGACAGATTTTCTCAGCAGACAACTTCTGGATCCGGGCGAGTGGTCTCTCCATCCAGAGATTTCTCAACAACTTTATCAGCACTGTAAAACGCTAGATGTGGATCTTCTAGCTTCTCAGCACAAGGAAGTGGACACATTTGTACCCAGAACGAGGGCTCCAATGGCGGAAACCTTAGTAACTCAGTGGGACTAGTACTCTCTGATATATGCTTTTCCTCCACTGATGCTATTATCTCATCTACTTCGCAGGACTGAAGACGAAGAAACTCCAGTTATTTTGGTTGCTCCTGATTCCCCTCACAAGGGTATGGTATGCCGACCTGGTTCATATGTTGGCAGACGATCTGTAGTCTCTTCCAGATCAGCCAGATCTCTTGTCTCAGGAGCCAGTCTTCCACCCTGCTTCTCGGTCGTTGGCTTTAACGGCCTGGCTGTTGAAACAAAGGTGTTGAAAAACAGAAAGATTTCGGATTCTGTTATTCCGATTATGCTTAGGGCTTGTAGATCTTCTATTTGTAAAATTGATCACCTTACATGGAAAGTTACTTTTTACTGGTGTGAGTCCTTAGGGTTTTCCCCAAGGACTTTTTCTATATTGCATATTGTCTCCTTCAACTAGGGGTAGGGCAATGTTTAGCTCTAAGTACCATAAAGGGTCAGATATCTACCTTTTTCAACGTTTTAAGTTCTTGATTCACATTTTTATTCAGGGAGTTACTTGTGCTGTCCCTCCTGTGAGGTCTCCACTTCCTCTGTGGGATTTGAACTTGGTTTTATCTGTTCTACCAAAAAACCCTTTTTGAACCTATTTATGATATTTCTGATTATTTATTTATTTGCCTTTTTGTGGCCATTACCTCAGCTAGAAAGACTTCGAGTTGCCTGTAGACATGTGCGATTCGTTTCGTTCCGAATCGAAATTCGGACGAAATTGCGTAAATTCGGAGATTCGGATGTATCCGAATTCAGAATTACAGATATAACAAATGCAAACGAATCCGAATTTCCGATTCCTTTATTCTTGGATGAACTTTTGTTGCAGCAAAGTAAGATTTGAGAGCAAAAAAACTTTTTTTCCCTCTTAAATGTCACTTTGCTGCAACGAACGAACGAAACGAATTAGAAACAAACTTTCTTACGCTAATTTCGTCCGAATCCGAAACGAATTGACTTTCAACCTGAATTCCTAAAAATGAAATAAAGCAAACTCCGAATCAAAACGAAACTAAACAAATTTGTTGCTGGTGCACATGTCTGGTTGCCTGCATTGTCTTGTAGAGAACCGTATTTGGTTCTTCATAAGGACAAGGTAGTTATGAGACCGAAGGTTTCCTTCTTCCCAAGGTGGTTTCAGCCTTTCATCTCAATGAAGACATTGTTTTACCTTCACTTTGTCCAACTCCTGTTCATCCATAGCAAATCTCTCTTCATTGTTTGGACGTTGTGCGGACTATTATCGGAGATTATCTGTCATCCACAGATTCGTTTAGACGTTCGGAGTCTTTATTTGTTCTAACAGACAGTCCTAAGAAAGGTTGTTCAGCTTTTAGAGCCACTCCTAAGAAAGGTTGTTCAGCTTCTAGAGCCACTCCTAAGAAAGGTTGTTCAGCTTCTAGAGCCACTCCTAAGAAAGGTTGTTCAGCTTCTAGAGCCACTCCTAAGAAAGGTTGTTCAGCTTCTAGAGCCACTCCTAAGAAAGGTTGTTCAGCTTCTAGAGCCACTCCTAAGAAAGGTTGTTCAGCTTCTAGAGCCACTCCTAAGAAAGGTTGTTCAGCTTCTAGAGCCACTCCTAAGAAAGGTTGTTCAGCTTCTAGAGCCACTCCTAAGAAAGGTTGTTCAGCTTCTAGAGCCACTCCTAAGAAAGGTTGTTCAGCTTCTAGAGCCACTCCTAAGAAAGGTTGTTCAGCTTCTAGAGCCACTCCTAAGAAAGGTTGTTCAGCTTCTAGAGCCACTCCTAAGAAAGGTTGTTCAGCTTCTAGAGCCACTCCTAAGAAAGGTTGTTCAGCTTCTAGAGCCACTCAACGAAACTAAACAAATTTGTTGCTGGTGCACATGTCTGGTTGCCTGCATTGTCTTGTAGAGAACCGTATTTGGTTCTTCATAAGGACAAGGTAGTTATGAGACCGAAGGTTTCCTTCTTCCCAAGGTGGTTTCAGCCTTTCATCTCAATGAAGACATTGTTTTACCTTCACTTTGTCCAACTCCTGTTCATCCATAGCAAATCTCTCTTCATTGTTTGGACGTTGTGCGGACTATTATCGGAGATTATCTGTCATCCACAGATTCGTTTAGACGTTCGGAGTCTTTATTTGTTCTAACAGACAGTCCTAAGAAAGGTTGTTCAGCTTTTAGAGCCACTCCTAAGAAAGGTTGTTCAGCTTCTAGAGCCACTCCTAAGAAAGGTTGTTCAGCTTCTAGAGCCACTCCTAAGAGTAAGAAAGGTTGTTCAGCTTCTAGAGCCACTCCTAAGAAAGGTTGTTCCGCTTCTAGAGCCACTCTAAGTGGATTTGTCAGGTTATCATTCAAGATTAGGAGTTGTGGGATGAGGTTCCGCCTTTCCTGTTTCTGCTCATTCTATTAGTGCAATTAGTACTTCTTGGGCTCTTCAGAATCAAGCTTCTTTTACTCAAATGGCAAGGCCACAACTTGGTCTTCTGCTCACCTTTTGCAAGGTTTTATAGAGTTGATGTTTCTGCCTCTTCTAATGTTAGCTTTAGCAGAAAAGTTCTTCAGGGAGCTGTTTAAATGTTTCGGTGGTTAACTTTTTTGTTGAGCTAGTTCTGGTTATTGTGGTGCCCGTCCCTCTGTTTGGACTGCTTCTGATCGTCCCTACATCTCAGATTTCTTTGTGGAGCCGTGTCCCTCAATAGACGATAAAGAAAATTGGATTTTGTTCTTCCCATAAAGTCCATTGAGGGACACAGCTCCCTCCCCTTTTTTCCTTCCTCTCTCCTGGAGGCAGCAGTATAACCTTACATCTCAAACTTCTTCAGAGCTGTTTCTCTCTATGAACTCTGAGAAAAGGATTTTACAGTAAAAACAAAATCCTATTTTGTGCTAATTTCTTCTATTTTTGTACAACACTGCTTACAGTTATATGTTTTTATTGCTTAATATATCGAAGAAACCAGGTGCCATAAAATATTGTCTCTGATTTTTTTTCATCTCTGTTTCATACAGGAAATTTCTCTCAGTTTGGTACACAGCAGATCACACGGCGAGAGGTTTTCAATCTCCCATCCGAATACAGTCAGACTTCCGTCACTCACTCCTCAATGTCAGAGCCTTTCTTTAAAGGTAAAATCTAACTAGAACTCTGTATATCTACGATGTTTCATAGAAAATACTAACATATCACTACTACAGAATGAAGACATAGGAGGGAGGAAAATATAATAAAAGGGACCTGTACAAACAGCACTAGAGGGTCAAACACTAAAGCACAACACACACAGAGGGCAATTTATCAAAGCTGGAGCAGACAAAATCTGGGGCAGTTGTGCATGGCAACCAATCAGCTTCTCTCTTTCATTTTCAAATCTTAACTAAACAAACTGAAGAGAGAAGCTTATTGGTTGCCATGCACAGCTGCTCCAGATTTTGTCTTTCTCCAGTTTTGATAAATTCCCGCCATTGTAAATGTTTCATGAATAAAAAGATGGAGCAATTCTGACCTACTTCTGAAAATGCTGGTTGTGCTGATCCTCTGGCTTCAAAACTTTGACTTATTGATCAGGAACATGTATTAACATTAGGAAACAAAACAAAAAGTCAGAAGTTCTTATCCACATATTGATAGTAACTCAAAGCACTGAAGCCAGAAGGTCTTCACTGGCAGTATTCATGTTCCTCTCAGGGACGATTTCCATTAGTAACTTGTCACTATCCTAGTGGGGTGCAGTGGAGTCTGTGGGGCTCCAGAGTGTTAGGCCATTCACATGGGCAACTGAACACGTTATTTAGATGTGTTCAGCCACAGTCCATTCAACTACGTTAGGAAAAATAGACATCTGGTGCATCTAGGATCTGAATAGAACTTCTGAATGCATGTCAGCACACCTTGTAAGGCGAGTTTGGGGTGCTATTCAGAAAAAGGTGCATGTAGCATTTTTGGCAGTGCACCACACGACCATTGGCAAGGTGTGTTAGGGTGCCATTTAGAATGATTGGCATGTGCAAAAGTGTAAATGGGCCCTAAAAGCTGATCTTCCACCCACATTGGCTGTGAGTTCTTAGTGCAGATCCCAGGTTTGAGTGATCAGCAGCTCACGGCACATGATTTAGAACAAATATTTGCCATCTTTTGTAATATCCCTAACATCAGGTGAACTTCAAGGAACGTGCAAGAGGTGAGAGCAGAAAATGTAGCTTGTCGGTCTGTTGCTGCTCCTTCACTGGCTAGTCACAAGCTTGAAGGAAGTGAGGTAGCTGTATTGCCAAACGAACAATAGAGAAAAGTCAGATCCTCACCCTAGCTGTGCTGTCTGGCAGAGCGGTATAAATCTCAGAAAAGAATGGACAAAAATACAAATCCTTTGTATAGATAAAGCGCCTCTCTTTTCTGTGTTTTTTACATCACATTGTTACATGATTAGACACAAGTCCAATCTACAGAGTGAATGTGTTCACATTAAGCAAATTACGTTCAAGACTTTTATTTCATGAATCGCATGTACCTCTGCGTTGTTGACCTGCATATCAGACTTGGCCAGTAATATTTATTCTTCTTGTTTGCACCTGCAGATGGCATGTCTGTCACAAGCCACCGCATGGAAAGTTCTGGCACGGTCACACAACAGGTCACCAAAGAGTACGTCACACGATCAATGATGTCCGGAGGATCCCTCAGCAGACAGGTGGAGCGCCAGTTCTATGAAGCTTAAAAGATATGCAACGCTAGCTTTACCGGACAATACGCCACGCTTGGGTGCCATTTGTATATGGTGCGTCGCTATGACTCCCTCTTTACCCCTTCACGTCATGGGAGTTGCTTTTTTGTGCTTCTATGTGTTATCCTGTTTGGGAGATTCTGAACTTTTCTGAAAAGTAGAAGACAGGACAATGTAGAGGATGGGTACAGGTATATTCTGACGCAGGTGCTCGCCACGGTACCAAAAAGGTGACAACCTAAATGTCTTCCCTTCTTGCACCAAAATGCCTAAGTCCTATTTTATAATGCAGTGCTAGAATCATTTGATTTTGAGGGAGGGGGGAGGAATCCATCCTAAAATAGCATCCTGAGCTCCATGGTATGCTTTAACCAAACTTTATTTAAATATCTTTTTTTATGATTTGTAAATAACTTTTTTATGACAAAATCTGTGGAAGAAAAGGGAGTATATACTGTATGTCTGTGTGAGGTATATTGTATGTTGTAGAGCAGGGGTAGCCAAGCTTCAGTACTCCAGCTGTTGTGGAACTACAAATCCCATAAGGCATTGCAAGACTGACAGCCACAAATTCCAGTGGCAGATGCATGCTGAAAGTTGTAGTATCACTACAACTGGTTGACAGATGTTTGGCTACCCCTGTTGTAGAGGGAACTTAGTAAATATAGTGCAAACACTGGCTCCCAGGGATCGGTAGTGGGATAGGTGCATGGGAGTGCTTAGTATGTATGGGAATGTATGAAGCTGTAATGTAGGGGTGGGTATACCTAGGTGGAGACATTTTAGAACAAGAAGGGAGTTATTCCGCTTGGAACGTCCAAAATATCCAGGCATATTACCGGGGTCCACAGTAACCCAAGATTTACTTCTTCCTCACAGAAACAGATATGATCTTGATAAAACAGTGACTTATGTTATGTACTCTCCCATAACTCAAAAATATTTTAGTAACTGGCACATGACTAACCTAGGCCTAGGTCTGGTGTATGGTGCCAATGGTGGCAGCAAGCCCATGATGAGATTGTAGAAAGGTTGGGTGTAAAGTCAAAAACTCAGTCCTGTAAAAATCAGATTGTTGCTAGAAGAAGATTGCACAATGTAATGCAAGGTACTAAGTAACCATATGCAAATCCAATGGATTGTTTTGGCAGATCCTCACATTACATAGTTCCTGGTAAATTTAAATGAGATTTTCTGTGCAGTCAGATTGCCAAAAGCAGAGGAAGCTTAACCAAGAGCTATAAACTGCTACCTTGACGTGCATAGTAGCACAGACAGGACCTCTGTATTAGTATGGTGTGTTACAACAGGAGGGGGTTAATAAAGCTTGAAGCTCAGTAACCAAAGCATGATGACCAGAGACGCCTGCTGACTGGTTACTTTGGGTTACTCACTCTGATTATTGCTCACTCCCTTCAAAAATATATAATTTATTAAAATAGGAGTCACATGCTCTCATCATTTAAAGAGAGAAAACCTCTATTAAGCCAAGAATGATACACTAATAAAATGCAGATAAAAATAAAGCCGCTTTATTTCACAACTGGAAAGGTACATTCACTAGCCGCCATTAAGATGACAAGACGCCACATCCAGCAGATGGCTTGCTGACATAGAATGTTGGGGTTCCCTTGAATTTCTCCTAAGAAAGAAAAACACAATTATATATTTCATATGAATTCACACATTTTAAATGATTCTTGTTACGCTAAAAGCTGCTTCCTACTAACCAAGTATACATTTCTGGCCATGTGGGTAACAAGTCTCCAACAAATACAATAGCTGTAGATACACTACGAGTGACGACATCTTCATGGACTACAGAATAAATAGATGAAGAGTTGGGAGCTGCTTAGTCTGTTCTTAAAGAAACTCTGTAACTAGACCATTCTTAAAAAAAAAATATATATATCTTCCCGTAAGATTATAAGAGCATTTAATGTAGTCTATGCATGTTAATTACCTGTAAAATCCCTCCTAATGTAGACATCTAAAAGCCCTGAGACTGCTTCTGGGTGCCACCATTTTGGATGTGATGTCAGCAGCTCCATCAATTCCAGAGCTGTCACTCAAGTGACTCTATAGTGGTGCCTTTTGCATCTTCCACTGCAATTGCATTAAAAGGTTATATAGGTAGATGATAGGGGCAGAGGAGCTAGGCCAGCACAAAGAGTAATTAGAGGCCCCCAGAAAAGAATTGGGCTATGATCTACAAGGAGATAGGGGGTGTGCTAGGGAATTGACTCTTTCTGGAAGAGTAGAATTTTCTAGCCAGTTTAAAGACATATTGCAAGGGAATAGAAATGGTTTATGGAAAAGAAAAACACTGCAAGTAAGCATTTAAAATACATGATTTTCTCTGCTTTATCTGAAAAGTTGTAGGTTGGTGACATGGTCTCTTTAAGGTATATATTACATTTAATGAGCCATCTGGACCAACAGGTTAGAAAGCATTGCCCTGTTGGTTTACTTTTGGATGGAGGTTGAGTAGGACACTTGGTTTACAGCCCATGGGTCTGCTTGGGTGATGTTCCTTCAATGTGAGACAGTGTGTGAAGAATGCCTACCGACTACAAGTACATATCTGACATGTGCCTGTAAAACCCATACAAGAAATAGGACAGCAATAAAAAAACATTGTCAACATTTCTAACCCTTCCTTAGTCCACTAAAAATGTGCTGGAGATGTCCTGATAGGAAGTGAGGGCAAATGTCCCCAATAGGGACTTTAGACAGCAGTACAATTCTGACAAAGGGTCTGACCCTTCCTCACTTCATTCAGAACAAATGGGCTGGATTGAGCTTTAAATATAATGGCTCACCATATGTCCTAGTCTCCCCATCAACTACAGCTAAATCAAGAGTTTTACAGTGAAGTCCTTTAAAGGGTAACTCCACTTTAAAAATATCAAAATGAAAAAAAAAAAAAAAAAACTTTCAAAAATTAATATAGCATTTATAATTGTTTCACCAGCCAATTGTAATTAAATGTTATGAAAAATTACTTTTCCATTCAAAGCTGTAGCTGCTGGAATGTTCTAAGTCTGTCAAAATAATTCAGCGCAATATGGTGACCTGGAGGCGTTCCGTGCACACATAGAAATGTCACCTCCTGCTTCTGTGATTGGCTAATTTTTTTGGCGAGATACTCCCTAAGGGTTACAATTACTACTAAAGGAATGCCGACACTACACCTCTCCTCATTACAACACAGGAAGTCCACTAGCTGGTTATAATGAACCCAGACCCTCCCATTCAGGGATTCATTTGGAAAGGACATGCTGCACCAAACAGCTTTTTCTTCAGAACAGAAGCAGGTAGGAAACTGCAACACAGTTTGTTAAAATCCTTGCAATGTACATTGATCACCCACAGAGGATTTATTTATTTTTTTCCTCAACAAACGTGGAATTACTCTTTAAAACACATTACTGAATTCAACAAGCATGTCTCAGTTCATAGGAATTTCATTACAATATGATTTGTAGGACTTTTTATTGGAAGAAGCATCTGGGAGAGTAACACAATGCCAAAAGTTCAGGACCACTTGTGTATATATAATGGATATTAAAGACCGTTGTCCGAACGTAAACACTTTCTGCTTGGTTTTGTACTTTTGTCATCTTAACTTTTGTGATAATAAAGTCATTTTTTTCATTAAACACTTTATCTTGTAGAATTTATTCATTTTTATTCCGTCAGTCAAAGCAAGCTGTCTGTCTTTTAAAGCTGATTTCAAGGCAGGCACATTAAGCCTGAAACCTCCCTCTCCCCATCTATAGTGTCCCAGGGTGATTTTTCCATTGTCCTGAGATTTAGTTCTTAGCTTCTGGTCCATCATCAGAATGGCTCAAAACTCTTGTAGTTGCTGGAGCTTCGAGGAGGATGTCCAGGGTGTCCTAACGCATGTCCTACTCACACAAGGAGCCCCATAGAACTACCTTTTCTATCAACCCTTTGCCTGTAAAGTCTGTTGGTAGGCTCTCAGGCGTTGCTGTGAGAGCGCGTGTAAGAAGTGACAAATGGTCATTCTAAGTTTGGATCACACAATCTGTATATCAAAAGCCATGTTTTCAGTACAGAGTAGTTAAACTTGATGTTTCTGACTACCCGGATATTTTTCTGCTGGCTACAGCTGCCCAACATGTTATGTTGATATCTTCAGATGTGAGATCTTATCTAGGGAACAGCCAATCATGCTGCTCTTTTTCAGCACCGACACCCCCACACTTTCCTGCTGGTAGAAGTGGGGACACAGGAACTGGGAAGGCTAAAGGGACAGCCAGCCATGCTACCAGAGGAGAATGTGGTTCCCTAATTTTTGTTCTTGTATAAGTAAGCATTAATTAGGATGCAATGTAGAGCATTAATTCTAGCCTTACTTCAACACTAATTTTATTTAACACTGACATTACTTAAAAAGGAGAAGAGAGTGGCTGAGGAGGGGTGCCAGGCTGTTGGCCTGCCCACATCATTGATAAGGATAGATTCTGTATGTCCAGTACTGTGCAATGCATATATAGGTGACTGCAGCAGGCTGACCAGACAGATTAATAACATTGTTATACTAAGATCACAGAAGTGATTATCTCGAGTTAATATTTCACCTGAATTTCCCGTTTGGCTTGTTCGGCAACTGAAGTCTCTAACAAGGTCACTGTGCATCCTCCAAAACCACCTCCTGTCATCCTGCTGCCATACACACCAGGAACCTCCAGAGCTGTTGAAACCAGTTCATCCAATTCCGGACAGCTAACTTCATAGTCATCCCTAGGATGGAAGAGATGGGAACACAGATATTCAGTATTGAAATATTAAGACGGCCAAAATCCATCCATTCATTACAAGATTCATCACTAATCCCACGCAGACTTCAAACTCCACACAAAAATACACAGCTGAAATACATATATGTTCACTGTTTTACCTGGCAAAGAGGTTTTCATTTTGTACAACCAGTGTTGGGATTTATACACATGATCTACACTGCATAGTCAGACAGCTGACACACTTATTTTCTAATTCAATAGATTAGCTTCTGGGTCAGCTTTGTGGCTTCCTAGCTCACCCCTCTGCCTGCAGCCTCATCTTTACCAGTATCATCATCTCCATTCACTGAGCAAGGAGCTGATTAAGAAAGTGATAAAGCTGACACAGGAAAACAGAACAGTTCACAAGGTAGTAGTAAAAGTGATCCTACACCTCAGCAGAGCTGTGTGTAACACAAGAATGGCTGTCCAAGACCATAATCCTCTGGCTATTAAAAAGAACATGTATATGAGCAATGAATTTAGCCTTTTGGCTTTAACACCACTGGTTCACCTATATAACCTGTATATTAATGTTCCCCAGCATGGGGCATCATATGTTAATAAATGTCATATGAGGAAACAAGCAGAGAAGTTATAGTTGTCAGTGTCCCCGCACTATGCACTCCATTGCCCAGCCAAGAACCATCATAGTGGAGCTACTCTCATCAACATACTATAATCCTAAATTAAAAACCCCACTCCTGTTCCCGTAAGCCCACCACTTTACCAAAAAGTCATAGTGGTTGGAAACTTGTGTCCCTTCATAACGGAAATGAAATGGAGCCTGTTTAGAAACTCTTGTTCCCCACCTCTTGTTGGATTGGACCTTCAAGTTACACATCTGCTCCAGAGTCTCTTGACAAATCATCATCATTTATCTGACTCCATTGCGCAACTCTCAGCACTGCCCCCTTTTCTGCGGCTGCGTGATTGGCACATTCTGCTAACAGGCACCTCAGTCCGCCAGTCACACAGTCATTACAATTCACTCTGTCAGTCCTACCTCAGTGAGTTGTGGCTCTCCGCCATTAATTTGCCAAACAATTTATAATCCCCTTTCTCCAACACTTGTGCCGCTTTAGCTGTGCGCTCAATCTCTGTGATCACATGACGTGCCCGCTTATAGCAAACCTCACTGAGGTTCTTTTTTTTGGCTGTCAAGACAAAAACATACAGGTAGAAATATTAAGACAGTTTGCTTATTTTGATTCCAGTTCTGAAGAGAAAGTTTTTTTTTTTTCTTCCACCTTGGCTTCAGGACACACTCACCCTCCAATTCCTCCATACTAGCATCTCTCAAGGACTCTTTATTGAGGGCCCTGGCAGCCTCCTCACACTGCTTCCTGCGTGTCGGGTACTCGCTCCCTGTTAGCTCATGACGCACATTGGAATTGGTAATAAGCACGGACAGTTTGGGGTCTGTCAGGGGAAACGCTGTTGCCTTTAATGATCTAAATAAATATTAACATGACAAACGGCGGTTACTGGACAGGTATCAACTATTCACAATGCTGATGTGTCTGAAAGGACAATGGCCTGTTTTGGGTGTAATACCCAACAAGATTGCAACTGTCATTACTACCTATGAAAAAAAGAATTGTAAGTTGTTGCCATCAACAACACAAACAAGTAATCTTTTACTAATACACAAGGAATAAAAAAAGTAATATTAAATCCTGCATTATATGTGGGACTTTTCAGCTGCTACAATGATATAATCATATTCAACATATCTTTTTTAGAATAGTATAAATGTTACTGCTCACATACAGTATACATTATGATGATACTAACATACATAGGTAAAACAATCCACAATACCTGGTGACTCTCTAGGAATACGGTAGGGTAATGTTACAGACAAAAGCTCCAACTGAACAGCCAACTGAAGCGCCAACAAAACCAGGGTCACAGGCCATGCCTTTGGTCCATACTCGCAACGTCTGGCAAATGTCCATGGAAACAGCAGGTTGCATACTCGGACCAATCAGAGTGAATGAAGCCTTGAGAAGGGCCTTAAAATCCCCTATTCCCCAAAATGTTGTTTTATGTTTTTGTGGTATTACCGGAATCTATTCCCAGGCGAGTCACCTGGTATTGTGGATTGATGTATCTTTGTATGCTAGTATCATCATAATATGTATAAGTGGGCAACAAAAATGTGTACTTTTATAAAAAAGAGAAGTTGAATGTGCTGAAATCATTTTTTTTTTTTTTTAAACATTTCTTTATTAGTTTTCAGTCCATCAACAGATAGATCAAGTAAAACAAATACAAAAGACAATTCTCATGTGTACGTCTCATGCTTTAAATGATGATACAAGGCAATTCAACCAAGACATGGCATGCTGAAATAATTTAAGCATCTGAAAAGTCCCACAAATAATATTTACAATAGACTAAATGCAGTGGGCTTTGTGGAATGTGGTGCAGATAGAGGTTCTAATCCTTCTATCGTCTATCCAAAACGAGAAAAAAAGATTGCTTTACATTAAAGGAAAATTATCACCAGAAGATAAAAATCCTTATTCATTCCTCCAGGGAAATCAATGCATATAGCACTTTGACCTGTCTAGATCTCTGCAGTAGCTTAAAAATAAAACAGTACCTGTACAATACCTGTAAAATCTGTTTCTTTAAGAACATTAGATCAAGCTGGACTGATGCCATGAAGCTATCAAGCCATCCACTGGGAAAACCTGGGGATCCTTGGTCCTGGCAACAAATCTGTCCAGTTTCCTGCAGAACCTGGATGCCAGGAGGTCCATGTTTGATGTTCCACAACTGCAAAAAAGAGCTCGAAACAGCTCTGGGTGAAGGGAACATTCTACGGAGTCCAAAAGCTGATGACTAAGTCAATCCACTTGCCAATTTCTAGGGATGCACCGATACTAGTATCGGTGCCGATACCGACTATTTGGGAGAGTATTCGTATTATTTACATTTACAAAAATGTAGCTTATTTGTGTATCACTCAGCTCTAGATCATCAAATCATCTCTGAATTGGTGCCGACACTGTTCTTCCTTCTGGAGGGTGGCTAACTTTGTTCCCCATGGTCCCTGTATGTGTTGTAAAGTAGTCACCGCTCCAAGCTTGCTCCTGTGATGGACTACAATCTCATCTTTAGTTTACTCATTTGTATTGAGATTGTAGTCCATGATGGTATTTGGGAGAAAATGTTATGCACTGCTACAAAATCCTAACAGTGTCCGTCTTCCCTTAGACTGACCTGCAGTCAATGAGCAGAGCATGTCCCTCTCTCCCCATCACTGAGATAAACTGGTCCATGATCCCGCAGGGTACTCCGGGGAATGTATGTTCAGCTTTCTGACATGCAAGAGCTTTTTGAACAACATCGCCATCATCTGAGAACAATAAACACACAACTCATTTATGACATAGAAGTTGCAGCAGAATATTAAATCTGAATAAATGGATAATCATTAGTTCCGATAATCTAGAATTCAACTACTCAAGTCCACGCAGACTGCAATCAGTGACTAAGGCCTCATTCACACTAGTGATTAGGGCCAGTCAGCGGATTAGTGCGGCAACAATCAGCGGATACTTGATGTTGGAATCACAGGTGGTTGTGGACAGCTGCAGCTGGGTAATCTGTACAAAGCAATGACAGGCTAATAGGAGCCGCGGCTATCTGCATGGTATCCACACATCTTGATTACTTGCGACTAGCAACGGATGACCCCCCGCCACCACCCCGTTCCCCATCTGTCTGTATCCATGGCGGGTCATCTGTCCCTAGCCACAGGTAAGCACTAGATGTGCAGGTACATGAAAAGACAGCTGTGGCTCCTGTCAAGCCTGTCATTGCTTTGTACAGGCTTCCTGGCCACAGCTGTCCACATCGACTTAAGATCTCAGCCACAAGAATCTGCAGAAACTTGCTGCATGTGTTCACAAAAGCCCGAGTGAATGAGGTCTAATTGTTTGTTTATCATTATTAGTACCCATGCTTTCATAAGAGAAACATGGAGGCCCGCCATTGCTGACCTTTTGAAAAGACTACTTGCTTGGCTCTAACAACTAACTTCAATAAAGCCTTTATAGAGAAACACCGCTACCAAATTCCATGGCTGCCGAAGAACTCAGTCCAGTCCCGGGTACATACCAAACAGGCTCATCGCTGCCAAAAACGGTCGCACTCCATGGATCTTCATTCAAATCTCAAGTCTTTATTGTAGAATGCAATAACACACTGCGTGACATCTCTCCATGCCTGCCCAGTCCCTCACACACTTCACCTTTCCTCCATGATTAAGCTGTGAAGGTGAAACGCATGAGTGGCTGGGCATGCATGGAGGGATGTCATGCAGTGTGTTATTGCATTCTACAATAAAGACTTGAGATTTGAATGAAGATCCGTGGAGTGTGACCATTTGTTTCCCTATACTGACTTCAATACTTTGAGTAATTGGCCAAGAACACGCATGTACATCAGGAAAGTCAGATCAAAATCAGAAGTCTTTATCTGTAGAATTGTTATAGGTCAGCAGTGGCAGCCTCCATGTTCCTGCAGGACAGGTTTTCTTTACAATATACATTCAGACATAAGGCACCTACAGGCATGAGATGATTGATGCAGCCTATTTTGGTACAGATACTTTTCCAGCTCCAGGACTAGACTAGAGAAAAATTCAAAAGTTAGGAGGAGGCTGTCATTTGTAAGAAGCACACGGAGCTCCTGGGATTTGTACATCTCTGTTTTAATGTATGATTCTTAAAAAATAAATATATATAAGGGATGCGCTGATACCATTTTTTCAAGTACAAGTACTGATACATTTTTGTTTATTATCATGTGACAGTTTTTCTAAAACAATACAGACTAATGATTTCAGGACAGTGGTGGAGCGTCAGAGCCAGGTCCCAGCTGCAACCTCTGCAACCCTGGTAGTTTTCATGAAAATGCCAAGTATCAGCACTGGTATCTGAACATCCCTATTCCCAAGGGATCTCATCATCAAAGGAAAGTAATCTTACCTGGGCAGAGCTGCTGCAAAAAGGTGTAAGTAGCCACCTCCAGAGATGCAGAACTGGATAGGCCTCCGCCTAATGGAACACTCGTGGCAATCACTGCATTAAACCCAGGAACAGGTCCAGCTGATATGAGACAATATAAAATGACAATATAAGAAATTATCTACTGACTTTCATTCTCAAGTATCTCTATCACAGGAAAAGGAAATGAAGATGCAGGTTTATTCAGCGAAGTAGACTGTAAAGTGCTTCCAGTCGTGAGCTTGGTAGCGTTTTTGTCAGCCGGCTATCCTGTAAAAGTGACCCGGGTGACTCTATCACTTTCACGGGGCGTAAAGGTGCCGTGTTCTTTACAGGGAAAGCCAATAAATGATATCAGGATATCCAGTGGGAGCAGAGAGGGGGGCATCCATTTGTCAATCTGCTCTGCAATCAATGTACCTGGAAGCGTGCTCTCAGCACATCTGGATTCAGCGCTGTCAGATTCCCGTCTAAAATTCTGAGCAAACAGTCAAATGTACTCCCGAGACCCAAAAGAAGAGCAAAGCCCAAAAAAGGTTTGCATCTACTTCTCTTTACTTCACTGCCCCCTGACAAAGATAATGGAGAAAGCTACTCGGTAACATGCAGAACTGAACTCTAAACTACAGCAGTGCATTTTATCACAGTTTAATTAAAGAAAACCTCACTCAAAAAAACAAAAACAAAACCTTTCCCTACTGCACTCTTCCCCATTCCTCCACAGTGTATAATATCGGAATTCTTTTTTACAATCCAGCCCACCCCCTGCCTCCTCCACCTAGGCAACAATGACGTGGACTCTGCTCCTGAAGCCTCTTGGGATATGCACATTACATATTCCAGAAGGTTTCAGCTTCCACGTAGTGGCTTGGAGGAGGGGGGACCTACATCTGGAAGAGCTCTGGATGATGATGGCAGAAGACTCAGTGGGTGGCAACGTAGCAGCAGATTACAGCAGGACAACACTGGATTCACTGGACAAGCGAGTATGTGAATGGTAAGACTGATAAGACAAACAGCGAAGTGGAATCTCCATGATAGAATAAAAAACTAGACCGATAAGGAGATTTCTCTTTCCTTCCTGTTCTGTCTAAAACTTATCACCTAGACAGGAAGTAAAAACAAATCTCCTTGATGGGATACATGTGGTAATAGAATCCTGACAGAGGATGTAATCCATCATCTAAAACTTTCCCCTCTATATCCCAAACTATATAAGAAGGTTGGACTGGTGCTGTACTGTTATCAGTTAGCATTGTTCCTAGCCAACTCTAAATTACAGAACACCTCCCTGCTAGGTTATGGAGATGAGGCGAAGGTATTACGTAGTCCTAACACACTTCCTGTTCTAGGATGACAATCCTAATCCTCCATAGATACAGTACAGTGAGTGAGGAAGCTCACATTGGACAGGAAGTGTGGTACAGGCAGGATCACCACATAAAGAAACATCACAAAATAAACATGTTCTATTTTGCTGACAACCTTTTAGGCTCAACATACACCTTACTATATGATAGTACAATCTCATTTAGATCTACCAACAAGTATGTAGTTCAAGAGCCTGCTTGATTGGATACAAATTGATTGGCTAGATTAGGTAGGCCCTTATATTACATAGTTTTGGTGAATCCGAAATTGTGCAGAGACTGTAGGATCAGATTGTAATGTCGATTGTGGGCCTCAAGGCTCAAGAACTAAAATATAAACTAGTGAGCAGTTTTTAGAGTTTATGATTTTGTCCTCTCACCTCTGTAGTGCTGGATTACCCCCTTTAAATAGTTGGCCCACTTAGGTGTCCCAGGGACTAGAGGATTGTCTGTACTCGGGGCTGCAAACTCCACTTTATGGGGTTCATCCGCCCCCTCAGCGGTGGTCAGAAGGCAAATCTTCCCATCATCACGCCGACTTCCCACCATCACAGTGATAAGAGGTAAGGCCTGTAAAATAAAACATGACTATATGTCATCAACAGACCTCACGGTAAACCAAGACACGAATATATGTCATCAATGAACCTCGCGGTACATCAACAAATGAATATGTGTAATCAATGGACTTCACGGTACACTAACACATGAGTATATGTCATCAATGGACCTCACAGTACACCAACACATGAATATATGTCACCAATGGACCTCATCGTACATCAATACATGACTTTATGTCACCAATGGCCTCACAGTACATCAATACATGACTATGTCACCAATGGACCTCACCGTACATCAATACATGCATATATGTCGTCAATGGACCTCACCGTACATCAATACATGAATAAATGTAATCAATGGACCTCACCGTGCACCAATACATGAATATATATCATCAATGGACTTCACCGTACACCAACACATGAATATATGTCATCAATGGACCTCACTGTACACCAATACATATTATTAATGGGCCTCACAGTACACCAATACATGAACATATGTCATCAATGCACCTCACTGTACACCAATACATGAATAAATGTCATCAATGGACCTCACCGTACACCAACCCATATTATCAATGGGCCTCACAGTACACCAATACATATTATCAATGGGCCTCACCATACACCAATACATGAATATATGTCATCAATGGACTTTACCGTCCACCAATACATGAATATATGTCATCAATGGACCTCACCGTACACCAATACATGAATATATGTCATCAATGGGCCTCACCATACACCAATACATGAATATATGTCATCAATGGGCCTCACCATACACCAATACATGAATATATGTCATCAATGGACTTTACCGTCCACCAATACATGAATATATGTCATCAATGGACCTCACCGTACACCAATACATGAATATATGTCATCAATGGACTTTACCGTCCACCAATACATGAATATATGTCATCAATGGACCTCACCGTACACCAATACATGAATATATGTCATCAATGGGCCTCACCATACACCAATACATGAATATATGTCATCAATGGACTTTACCGTCCACCAATACATGAATATATGTCATCAATGGACCTCACCGTACACCAATACATGAATATATGTCATCAATGGGCCTCACCATACACTAAAACATGAATATATGTCATCAATGGACCTCACTGTACACCAATACATGAATATATGTCATCAATGGGCCTCACCTTACACCAATACATGAATATATGTCATCAATGGGCCTCACTGTACACCAGTATATGAATATATGTCATCAATGGGCCTCACTGTACACCAATACATGAATATATGTCATCAATGGGCCTCACTGTACACCAGTATATGAATATATGTTATCAATATGTGACTATACACAGATCAGTCATAACATTATGACCACTGACAGGTGAAGTGAATAACATTGATTATCTCATTACATAGGCACCTGGAAGTGGGTGAGATACATTAGGCAGCAAGTGAACATTTTGTCCCTGATGTTGATGTGTTGGAAGCAGAAAAAAATGTGAAAGTGTAAGGATTTGAGCGACTTTGACAAGGGCCAGATTGTGATGACTGGATCAGAGCAACTCCAAAACTGCAGCTCTCCTTGGATGTTCCTGGTCTGCAGTGGTCAGGGGAAAACCGGTGAACGGCCAAGGCTCTCTGATGCACATGGGGAGCGAAAGCTGGCCCATGTGATTCGATCCAATAGAAGAGCTACTGTTGCTCAAATTGCTGAAAAAGTTAATGCTGGTTCTGATAGAAAGGTGTCTGAACACACAGTACATCGCAGTTAGTTTGCGTTTGAGGCTGCACAGCAGTAGATAGGTCAGGGTGCCCATGCTGACCCGTGTCCACCTCCAAAAGTGCCTCCAATAGGAACGTAAGCATCAGAACTGGACTACTATGTAATGGAAGAAGGTGGCCTGGTCTGATGAATCATAGTTTCTTTTACATCATGTGGATGGTCGGGTGTGTGTCTCCCTTACCTGTGGAGGAGATTGCACCAGGAAGCACTATGTGAAGAAGGCAAGTCGGCGGAGGTAGGGTGATGCTTTGGGCAATGCTCTGCTGGAGAACCTTCAGTCCTGCCATTCATATGGATGTTACGTTGATGCGTACCATCTACCTAAACATTGCTGCTGACCAAGTACACGCCTTCATGGAAATGGTATTCCCTGACGACAGTGGCCTCTTTCAGCAGGATAATGCGCCCTGCCACACTGCAAAAATGGTTCAAGAATGGTTTGAGGAACACAATGAGCTTGAGGTGTTGACAATCCATGGAGGCCCCACCTCGCAAATTACAGGACTTAAAAGATCTGCTATTCACGGCATGGTGCCAGATACCACAGCATACCTTCAGAGGTCTAGCTGAGTCCATGCCTCGATGGGTCAGGGCTGTTTTGGCAGCAAACGGGGGAACTACCCAATATTAGGTGGGTGGTGATAATGTTATGGCCGCTCTGTGTATGTTATCAATGGACCTCACAGTACACCAATACATGTCAGCTGTGCAGCAGAACGCATCTTAGCACCTAGGGATTCAGTCCTGGCCCCATTCAGCTTCATTTTTGCTTCTGAAAAAATGCTAGTTGCCTGGCTGCCATGCTGATCCTCTGGATTGAAAGTGGATGTAAACGCTAACACAACTTCTCTGCTTTGTTCTTGATTGGTCAGTAAAATATGAAACTGAAAGTGTTTTCTTCTATCAGTTCAATGAGTTCTGACAATATCCGTTCATTCTGCCAGAAATGTCACGGAGTGGAGGAGACTCATCTGAGGACCGGGAGCTCCAGAGAAGAATGTTTATTATGGAGTACAGACAGACTGACCTGGAACATGTATGTACACTAATGACCGTACACTGACATTATCAGCACTGACATCATACACAGCACTGACACTCCAACCATTCCGACACAGACGTTATACACAGCACTGACACCCTTACCATTCTGGCACTGACGTCATAAACAGCACTGACACCCCTACCATTCCGGCACTGACATTATACACAGCACTGACACTCCAACCATTCCGACACGGACGTTATACACAGCACTGACACCCCTACCATTCTGGCACTGACGTCATACACAGCACTGACACCCCACCATTCCGGCACTGACATTATATACAGCACTGACACCCCTACCATTCTGGCACTGACGTCATACACAGCACTGACACCCCTACCATTCTGGCACTGACGTCATACACAGCACTGACACCCCTACCATTCTGGCACTGACGTCATACACAGCACTGACACCCCTACCATTCTGGCACTGACGTCATACACAGCACTGACACCCCTACCATTCTGGCACTGACGTCATACACAGCACTGACACCCCTACCATTCTGGCACTGACGTCATACACAGCACTGACACCCCTACCATTCTGGCACTGACGTCATACACAGCACTGACACCCCTACCATTCTGGCACTGACGTCATACACAGCACTGACACCCCTACCATTCTGGCACTGACGTCATACACAGCACTGACACCCCTACCATTCTGGCACTGACGTCATACACAGCACTGACACCCCTACCATTCTGGCACTGACGTCATACACAGCACTGACACCCCTACCATTCTGGCACTGACGTCATACACAGCACTGACACCCCTACCATTCTGGCACTGACGTCATACACAGCACTGACACCCCTACCATTCTGGCACTGACGTCATACACAGCACTGACACCCCTACCATTCTGGCACTGACGTCATACACAGCACTGACACCCCTACCATTCTGGCACTGACGTCATACACAGCACTGACACCCCTACCATTCTGGCACTGACGTCATACACAGCACTGACACCCCTACCATTCTGGCACTGACGTCATACACAGCACTGACACCCCTACCATTCTGGCACTGACGTCATACACAGCACTGACACCCCTACCATTCTGGCACTGACGTCATACACAGCACTGACACCCCTACCATTCTGGCACTGACGTCATACACAGCACTGACACCCCTACCATTCTGGCACTGACGTCATACACAGCACTGACACCCCTACCATTCTGGCACTGACGTCATACACAGCACTGACACCCCTACCATTCTGGCACTGACGTCATACACAGCACTGACACCCCTACCATTCTGGCACTGACGTCATACACAGCACTGACACCCCTACCATTCTGGCACTGACGTCATACACAGCACTGACACCCCTACCATTCTGGCACTGACGTCATACACAGCACTGACACCCCTACCATTCTGGCACTGACGTCATACACAGCACTGACACCCCTACCATTCCGGCACTGACGTTATACACAGCACTGACACCCCTACAATTCCAGCACTGACGTTATACACAGCACTGACACCCCTACAATTCTGGCACTGACGTTATACACAGCACTGACACCCCTACCATTCCAGCACTGGCGTTATACACAACACTGACATTAAATACCGAACTGACAATACATAGCACTGATACACCCAACGACATTACACATACAACTGACATCCCAACTGGTCTGGCACTATTACACACAGCACTGACACTACACTGAAACCCCAACCATCCCAGCACTGACAGCTCAGCGCTGCCCACTGTCAGCTCCATTCAGTGTCATGTGACTAGCAGCTGAACACGTGACCGGCTCCATAGAGTACGGTGAGAGGGCTCACCATGGGCAGTACGAAGCCGGCATTATAGTCAGTGTGTTCTCCGATCAGATTGACTCGGCCGGGGGAGAAGACCGCGATCTCCGGTTCTCCTCCGAACGTCTCAGAGAACAGCCGCCGGGCCTCCCTCTCCGGAGCGGACATACTGCACCTCTACTCCAGGACAAGCGCTGGCCACGCCCACAAGATCATGTGACTTCCACTAGACTTTCTCAATCAGAGCTGCTGCTTGTTTCCTGATTGTCCTAATTTGATAAACAAATCTGCGAATTCGCTGGGATTGTGGAGAAGCTGGAGTCACATGCAAGAGGCGTACAGACATATTCAATGTAACTTGTGTGAAAGATACATTCCCTTCAACACTGAAAACTAAAGTCACCTGACATGAGAGGAATGTGGAGGTCATGTGACCCTGCCATGATCTAAAGGTTGCTCCGACAAGCTATCCCTGTAAAAGAAGAGTGTATATGAGGAGCAGGCAACCTTGGCACTCCAGCTGTGAAACTACAAGTCCCATGAGGCTTTGCCTGATTTTCTCCTGGAGGCAGAGAAATTATGGGATTTGTAATTCTCCCACTGATGGAGTGCACTGGTTCTGCTCTCTATATTCTACTCAGCGGAGCGGAGTTAAGCAGCACATGTTGGAAGTAGAGTTAAAGCTGAACTCCAAGAAAAACAAATATTGTCTACATACAAGCAGCATGTGTATTGTCATTGTAATCTTGATGTCCTTCCATCCAGCAGGAAACGTGCAGGAGCTTCCTGTAATATAAAGACCAGTCACTGCTGCTCTCTCTCCTAGTGTAGTGTGGTTGGTCTTGTCTCCCCCCCTCCTGTCATTTTCTGCAGGCAGCCTGTCCTTTGGGCCCCTCCCACAGATGTACTCCCCATACAGGCAATGTGCAGCAAATTAATGATGTCACTGCTACTTTTGCAAGGTAATATATGGCTTTGTAAATGCATTTGGTTCACACAAAGTGGTTTTATATCCTTTTGGCTAGATAAATGAATTTTGTGCCTATAGTTCAGCTTTTATTTAGAGGCAGGGTCACTTTAACCACTTTAGGACCTCAATATGTATATAAACAGCTCAGTCCTGAAGAGGTTATACCATGATAAGGCCTGCTGCAGCTGGCATCTGACTTTCGTATACAAGTGTTTAGGCCGCTGTACAGCTGCCCGATCACTTGCATGCAGCTGCTGAGTGTGCATCTCCCTCCGCCACCACTTCTGGCTCCCTGTGCGGACCCGGGACCAACATGGTGGCTGTTTGCCGCTAGGCCAGAGGGAGATCAGTGTCTGATCTCCCCTCCAATCACTGAAACTGGAAGGGACGAGGATTTTGTCACTTCCGTTTTCCAGCTGTCATTTCCCCGGCTGCTGTGGCAGAGAAGAAGCTGGTGAAGCTTCTTTGGGGTCCCCAGGTGATATTAGAGTCTAATAGACCCCTGATGTCTCCATAAAGAGGACTTGTCACTGTATTTGTGCTATCACTTAGGGGGTTTGTTATCTCCGTATGTGTTAGCAATAATGTTAAGTGTAAAAAAAATAAAGCACATATAAAAACACTAAACAAAATTTTGTAAAGCCCCCCACCCCCACATACAAAAATGCATTGTATGTGCCCCCCCTCTACTGTGTCAGGGTGGAGATCAGGAGCAGACCGAGGAATGTCCATTCACCTGCTTTGTGATGAATGAAGTAGGGAGCGTTGTACTCTCAGTGCTCAGTGGGTATTACATAAGGGTATATACACTCACTGGTCACTTCATTAGGTACGCCTTGCTAGTACTGGGTTGGACCCCTTTTCTCTTCACAACTGCCCTAATTCTTCGTGGCGTAGATTCAACAAGGTGCTGGAAACATTCCTTGGAGCGTTTGGTCCACATTGACATGATAGCATCACGCAGTTGCTGCAGATTTGTCGGCTGCACATCCATGATGCAAATCTCCTGTTGCACATCACAAAGGTGCTCTAATGGATTGAGATCTGGTGACTGCGGAGGCCATTGGAGTACAGTGAATTAATTTGTCATGTTCAAGAAACCAGTTTGAGATGATGTGAGACTTGTGACATGGTGCGTTATCCTGCTGGAAGTAGCCATCAGAAGATGGGTACACTGTAGTCATGAAGGGATGGACATGGTCAGCAACAATACTCAGGTAGGATGTGGCATTTAAATGGTGCTCAATTGGTACTCAGACGTCCAATGTGTGACAAGAAAATATCCCCCACACCATTACACCACCAGCAGCCTGAACCGTTGATACAAGGCAGGATGGATTCATGGTTTCATGTTCTTTACACCAAATTCTGACCCGACCATCCCAATATTGCAACTGAAATCGAGACTCATCAGACCAGGCAACGTTTTTCCCAATCTGCTAGTGTCTAATTTTGATGAGCCTGTGCAAATTGTAGCCTCGGTTTCCTGTTCTTAGCTGACAGGAGTGGCACCTGAAGTGGTCTTCTGCTGCTTCAAAGTTCTACTTCAAGGTTGAACATGTTTTTGAGTTTAGAGATGTTCTTTTCCAGACCTCAGATGTAACGAGAGGTTATTTCAGTTACTGTTTTCTTTCCATCAGCTTGAACCAGTCTGCCCATTCTCCAATGACCTCTGACATCAACAAGGCATTTCCACCCAGAGAACTGCTCACTGGATATTTTCTCTTTTTCGGACCATTTTCTGTAATCTTAGAGATGGCTGTGGGTGAAAATCCCAGTAGATCAGCAGTTTCTGAAATACTCAGACCAGCCCGTCTGGCACCAACAACCATGTCACGTTCAAAGTCACTTAAATCACATTTCTTCCCCATTCTGAAGGCTTTGTTTGAACTTCAGCAGATCGTCTTGACCATGTCTACATGCGTTGAGTTGTTGCCATGTGATTGGCTGATTAGATATTTACATTAATGAGCAAACAGGTGTACCTAATAAAAGGTCAGTGAGTGTATATTGAGTATATATATATAATTTTTTTTTCAGGCCTAACGTGGATTACAACATGTGCCTTGGCAGCATAACCATTAAAGGGAATCTCAGATGAAAGAAATATGGATGTCTCCGAGTCTGTCATCCTTATCCTCACTTGTCACTGACCTAGAGCATGCAGGCAATTACTCTTTTCATCCTCCTAGGTTAGTGATTGGCTAAGGAGTAAAGGGGGGATGAGGATGACAGTCCTGGATCATACATGATCAAACTCAATGCCATACATACAACTATAGCAACAGGCTCACTATAAAACATGGAATAAAGAAACCAGGGCTCTTTCCTGTATATAGATCAATGTGAGATCCATCAGAAACTATCTCCGAGCTTAGCTTGTCACCTGCTCTGGAGGAATGCGGTAATTCCTTCCCCCTCCGGGGTACAGGTAATAGACCGGTCTATATAGGTGCAGCGCTGACCACACCTCGGCCACCTCCAGCACACCCGCAATCCTGTTCAAGTCATCGTTCTTCCTCGGATCAGTCCATTTCTGCAGGAGGAGGAGGAGGAGGGGGGGGGGGGGGCCCCTTTTTTCGGGGCAGATTTTCTCCTGGAGGCAGAGAAATTATGGGATTTGTAATTCTCCCACTGATGGAGTGCACTGGTTCTGCTCTCTATATTCTACTCAGCGGAGCGGAGTTAAGCAGCACATGTTGGAAGTAGAGTTAAAGCTGAACTCCAAGAAAAACAAATATTGTCTACATACAAGCAGCATGTGTATTGTCATTGTAATCTTGATGTCCTTCCATCCAGCAGGAAACGTGCAGGAGCTTCCTGTAATATAAAGACCAGTCACTGCTGCTCTCTCTCCTAGTGTAGTGTGGTTGGTCTTGTCTCCCCCCCTCCTGTCATTTTCTGCAGGCAGCCTGTCCTTTGGGCCCCTCCCACAGATGTACTCCCCATACAGGCAATGTGCAGCAAATTAATGATGTCACTGCTACTTTTGCAAGGTAATATATGGCTTTGTAAATGCATTTGGTTCACACAAAGTGGTTTTATATCCTTTTGGCTAGATAAATGAATTTTGTGCCTATAGTTCAGCTTTTATTTAGAGGCAGGGTCACTTTAACCACTTTAGGACCTCAATATGTATATAAACAGCTCAGTCCTGAAGAGGTTATACCATGATAAGGCCTGCTGCAGCTGGCATCTGACTTTCGTATACAAGTGTTTAGGCCGCTGTACAGCTGCCCGATCACTTGCATGCAGCTGCTGAGTGTGCATCTCCCTCCGCCACCACTTCTGGCTCCCTGTGCGGACCCGGGACCAACATGGTGGCTGTTTGCCGCTAGGCCAGAGGGAGATCAGTGTCTGATCTCCCCTCCAATCACTGAAACTGGAAGGGACGAGGATTTTGTCACTTCCGTTTTCCAGCTGTCATTTCCCCGGCTGCTGTGGCAGAGAAGAAGCTGGTGAAGCTTCTTTGGGGTCCCCAGGTGATATTAGAGTCTAATAGACCCCTGATGTCTCCATAAAGAGGACTTGTCACTGTATTTGTGCTATCACTTAGGGGGTTTGTTATCTCCGTATGTGTTAGCAATAATGTTAAGTGTAAAAAAAATAAAGCACATATAAAAACACTAAACAAAATTTTGTAAAGCCCCCCACCCCCACATACAAAAATGCATTGTATGTGCCCCCCCTCTACTGTGTCAGGGTGGAGATCAGGAGCAGACCGAGGAATGTCCATTCACCTGCTTTGTGATGAATGAAGTAGGGAGCGTTGTACTCTCAGTGCTCAGTGGGTATTACATAAGGGTATATACACTCACTGGTCACTTCATTAGGTACGCCTTGCTAGTACTGGGTTGGACCCCTTTTCTCTTCACAACTGCCCTAATTCTTCGTGGCGTAGATTCAACAAGGTGCTGGAAACATTCCTTGGAGCGTTTGGTCCACATTGACATGATAGCATCACGCAGTTGCTGCAGATTTGTCGGCTGCACATCCATGATGCAAATCTCCTGTTGCACATCACAAAGGTGCTCTAATGGATTGAGATCTGGTGACTGCGGAGGCCATTGGAGTACAGTGAATTAATTTGTCATGTTCAAGAAACCAGTTTGAGATGATGTGAGACTTGTGACATGGTGCGTTATCCTGCTGGAAGTAGCCATCAGAAGATGGGTACACTGTAGTCATGAAGGGATGGACATGGTCAGCAACAATACTCAGGTAGGATGTGGCATTTAAATGGTGCTCAATTGGTACTCAGACGTCCAATGTGTGACAAGAAAATATCCCCCACACCATTACACCACCAGCAGCCTGAACCGTTGATACAAGGCAGGATGGATTCATGGTTTCATGTTCTTTACACCAAATTCTGACCCGACCATCCCAATATTGCAACTGAAATCGAGACTCATCAGACCAGGCAACGTTTTTCCCAATCTGCTAGTGTCTAATTTTGATGAGCCTGTGCAAATTGTAGCCTCGGTTTCCTGTTCTTAGCTGACAGGAGTGGCACCTGAAGTGGTCTTCTGCTGCTTCAAAGTTCTACTTCAAGGTTGAACATGTTTTTGAGTTTAGAGATGTTCTTTTCCAGACCTCAGATGTAACGAGAGGTTATTTCAGTTACTGTTTTCTTTCCATCAGCTTGAACCAGTCTGCCCATTCTCCAATGACCTCTGACATCAACAAGGCATTTCCACCCAGAGAACTGCTCACTGGATATTTTCTCTTTTTCGGACCATTTTCTGTAATCTTAGAGATGGCTGTGGGTGAAAATCCCAGTAGATCAGCAGTTTCTGAAATACTCAGACCAGCCCGTCTGGCACCAACAACCATGTCACGTTCAAAGTCACTTAAATCACATTTCTTCCCCATTCTGAAGGCTTTGTTTGAACTTCAGCAGATCGTCTTGACCATGTCTACATGCGTTGAGTTGTTGCCATGTGATTGGCTGATTAGATATTTACATTAATGAGCAAACAGGTGTACCTAATAAAAGGTCAGTGAGTGTATATTGAGTATATATATATAATTTTTTTTTCAGGCCTAACGTGGATTACAACATGTGCCTTGGCAGCATAACCATTAAAGGGAATCTCAGATGAAAGAAATATGGATGTCTCCGAGTCTGTCATCCTTATCCTCACTTGTCACTGACCTAGAGCATGCAGGCAATTACTCTTTTCATCCTCCTAGGTTAGTGATTGGCTAAGGAGTAAAGGGGGGATGAGGATGACAGTCCTGGATCATACATGATCAAACTCAATGCCATACATACAACTATAGCAACAGGCTCACTATAAAACATGGAATAAAGAAACCAGGGCTCTTTCCTGTATATAGATCAATGTGAGATCCATCAGAAACTATCTCCGAGCTTAGCTTGTCACCTGCTCTGGAGGAATGCGGTAATTCCTTCCCCCTCCGGGGTACAGGTAATAGACCGGTCTATATAGGTGCAGCGCTGACCACACCTCGGCCACCTCCAGCACACCCGCAATCCTGTTCAAGTCATCGTTCTTCCTC